CCCCCCCTCTCCGCAAAAAAACTTGGAAGCGAATTCACACACACACACACACACACACACACGCATCGGCCACGGCGACACAGGCGACACACACTTATTTTGCATACAAAGCGATACGCACTCTCTCGCGATCGAACGCGTTCCAATCGCGTGAAATATCTTTCTTGCAATCGCGAGAAACGTTGCCTCCTGATCCGCAAAGGGGATCCTTCTTTAGGGTTCCACTGGATTATCTGATCGAGAAGATTCCGATTGCTATCCCCGCTTTTCGCTTTCTCCGTTCTCCAGAAATCAACGGGATTATCATCGATCTAATTTCGATCGGATTCTATTGAATCCTCGAAAGTTTCATCGTTGGTTATTTCATACCTCGAAGCCCGATCGACGCTTTTTCATTTCCTCGTCCGTCGAGGAGCCGACGACGACGAATCGCGCGTTTTACTTTTCTTTTTTTCCACTCGAAACGACGATGCAGTTTATATCCTTTAACCGAGACCACTTTTAGCTTGCCTCTCGCAACAACCGCGGAATTTACAACCCGAGTGAATTCCACGGATACCGATTCGAGGGAGGGATAAGAAGCACCTGTCGTACGATCGAACCGTTTGAGAGAACGGAAGCAGTAAAAGGGGGGAACGAAGGAGATAAGGGTTAAAAATGAGAAGGGAGAAGCGGATACGAATAATTCTAAACGCTCCATTATTATTAGTTTTTCTTCTTTCCAAGAGAAATATGTGTGTGTATATACATATATGGAAGAGCGAACGATCCCGAAAAGACGCGAGAAGAACGGAACCAAGGCAAGGAGTCGGAACGTAACTCGAAGCGTGGAAAATCACTTTCCTCCTCGCGTTCCCTTTCTTTCTCTCCGCGGAAAGAATCGCGAGCCAGACTTTGTTCCAAGAGTTTCATCCTCTCGTTATCGATCGATAAACGATTCGTATTAAAACTCGTTTCTAATTCGTGTCTAATCAAAAATTTGCTTTCGAGGTTAATCTTTCACCGAAATGAAAAAATTTTTTTCAAACTTTCGCCGTGGAATCGAGTCGAAATATATATTCGAGGCGATCTGCCGAGTAACGAGAAAGAGAAGGACGAGGAGGAGGAGGAGGAAGAGGAGGAGAAGGATCGCGTGATTCATCGGACAACGTCATTGTTGCGCTCGTAAATCACCGCGCAATTATTAACGTTCCTATATTTTCCAACTCTTCTTCCATCTGCCCTGGATCCCGTTTTCGCACAGAGATTCCGATAGAGAGAGAGAAAAATTCGCCCCACCGGCGATCTAAAAATACGTACGCCGGTTGAATCGAATCACAACGCGGTTAAAAGCAGTTTCTCACTTCGTTTTCCGTCAACGAAACAGTGCAATTACTGTGTAATCACTAGGGGAATTTACTACGGGTTTATTGTATACGAGTTCGCACAATATTCCCTCCTCCTCCTGCTCCTCCTCCTTCTTTTGCTCGGGAGGAGGAAAGGAACGATTTCGATTCGGGAAGCAAGTTGAGGAAGATCGGACGAGAGAGAGAGAGAGAGAGAGAGAGACGGAGAGAATCGAGGCGCATCGAGGTCGTCGCGTAGAGTGAACGTCCGTCGGCCTTGAGCCACGCATCCATCGTCCACGTGACGTGTCGTCGAACGAGAGCCGAGGAGTGTCGAAATTCGGAGGGGTTTTTGCTCACCGTTCGCCCCTGCAACGCCGAAAATGTATATCCACCACAGGAGCAGTCTTCGTGGTCCGGTCTCCATCATCGATTATAATCGGCCGATTCCCCAAAATCGATCCTTCGAAGAGGCGAAGGATATTATTAATCGGTGAGGAAGGAAGGAAGGAAGGAAGGAAGGAAGGAAGGAAGAAAGGAGGGAGGGAAAGAAGGAAGGAAGAAAGGAAGGAAAGAAGGAAGGAAGGAAGAAAAAAAGGGGAAGAACGGTTTAACCGTGGAAAACTCTCATTTATATTTGATCGTCCTTCCTTCTCCCCGAGGATCGAGATTTATTATCGCGCTCGTTCCACTCGCGTTCCACTTCCCCCGCAACTTTTCGTTTCGATATCGACTCACTAACACTCGGATACACGCGTTACTTGAAGAAAAAGAGAGAGAAAGAGAGAGAGAGAAGGAGAAAAAAAAAAAGACGATCGATGAACGATTGGATCGACGATCTCCAGTCGGAGAGGTGTTCCCCGGCCAAGAACGCGAGAGGCACTGACGGGCCCGGCGACTGGCGGGAGAGTTCGAACCGCGCACACCGACGCACACAGGACCCAGAGACGTGGACGCGGAACGGGGCAACATCTTTTTAACGGCGCGCACGTGAGATCCATAGTCCGTAGCCGTGGCGCGCTACCTCGTGCGCCACCATTTTTCCCAACCGCTCCGCTCCCTATCCTTGTCCACCTTATCCACGAGATTCCAATTCGTTCTCTCGTGATCGATCCCGATTCTCGAAACGAAAGTTGATGAGAAGAGATAATATAGAAAAAAACGAGCGCTCATCAGAGAGGCAGAGTTTATCGTTCCTTCCTCCCACGAGCCCCTCGTTAACGAGGCTATTTACGAAATGGCTGGCTACGAAATTGTACGCCTTTTCGAGAGGTTCCTTCTCCTCCTCCTTGGATTGCAACCTTTTTATTATCTTGTATAGGGAAGAGAGGAGGAAGGGAAGGTGGTTTGGCCGTAGGCGTGCAGCTCGGAGAGGAGAGGGAAGAGCGCTGGGCCTTACATGGATCTGGTGTGAGTCACTGCCCAAAGTGGACTATGTAAATGTGTTTGGCTCGAAGAAACTGGTCGATCGTTTATCACGAATGAATCTTCCACGAGCTTCGCTCTTTTTCGACTTCTATTTATATTATACTATATATATATATATATGTATATAACTAGCTCGGGTCTCGTTGGTCGATACCGAACGGGAATAAATAATTGGAATACATCGATAGATCGTGGGGCGAACGTTGGTCCTCGTGATTTATATATACACTAGGCATAGCCGGGTCGATCGATAATTAATTATCGCATTAACCGCGAGAGTTAAGAGAAGAGGGGGAGGGGGAGGGGAAGGCCTGTATCGATCGAGGAGAAAGGATGAAAGGACGTGCACGTTTATTCAGGCGAAACAACAGCCTTGGGGCACTTATGGTCGAAGCCGGACAAAAACGGATGTCTGCTGTCTTTGATAGACACTGCCGTTCGTGGCTGCTCGTGCACGATCGTGCACGCTCGTGTACGGTACTTGGACGAGCCACGCCATTCCACGCCGGCCCTCGAGGTGAAAGTGTCCAAAGATTTCGTAACGAGCGACCGATTGCGATTACGCTCGCCACGAGAAATCGTTTGCCTCCGTAACGAACGCCACTAAGTTCCATACCTAATTGGAACTACTTCTTCCTCCTCCTCCTCCTTCTCTTTCTCAACAAATTTGACAATCAACGCGATCTCTTGGTAGCGAAACTAGTTATTTTCAACTTTTCGCCGATTCGTGTTAATCTCTTAAAGGATCCCAAATAATAACACGATTTAAAGGGAAGAGAGAGAAGCGTTTCTCTCTCTCCTCGAAAATTCTGTTTTCACCTTTTCGCCATTTGTGTCGATTTCGACCATGTAACGTCACCTCCTTTGTAATATTTGAACAGATTAACGGTCTTTTTTTTCTTCGACTCGCCACAGTAAACGTAAAAAAGTAAATTATCCTTTTTTTTTGTTTTATCGCGCAGGGACGAAGGCGATGAGAGCGCGCGCGTCGCGAGTAGTTTACCGATCCAAAGTCCCGTTAATCGTCAACGGAATGGTTACGTCCCTTCTCGTTACGTATATCTCGCAAATATTCCGCAATCGGGAGAACGTTAAACGTCCGTCGTGTTACAATAATCCGTGTATAATCGAATAAGGCTTAAACAACGGGACGGGTTAACGTATATTATACGAAACGTGTCGCGTGGATGATCGTGATCGGCTCTCGCGTCGTTAATCTCGCTACCGGATCGTTTTGCGGAAGCGACAACTTCCACGGGACTTTGGCCTCATTAGAAGGAAAGGTGCCCCCTCGAGCCATCCCACCCTCCCTCCCCCTTATCTTATCCTCCGTGCGGATAACCGCGTGGATGCTAATTATAAAACGCGCGAATAATGAAATCATCTTGCTAAGCGCGGCTCGCGAGCCCGCTCACTTCCTTGAGAAACTTTTTCAACCGGGCCCGCGAGAGAAACGCCTTTATTAGCGGACGGGACAACGCTCTACGGGAGAAATTAGGCTCGTGGGATAAAGCGACTCAGAGTTATTAAGACAAATTGCCCGCTAATCGACACCACCTCCCAACACTAACACCATCTCCGTCTATCTCCTTTCGTCTTTCGAATCTTTGGAGAATCTTCCAGAAAGAGAAAAATTCTTCGATGTAGAAAAACGTATATATTTTACAAAAATATAATACATACGACGTTCAACGTCCTCGTTACCGCGATACATGTACACTATGTACACAAGCGACTTACTCTTTAATAATCGTCTAATCGTTATTTACACGCGTTATAATTGGATGGAAAGGATCGTCACGCCAGAATGCGAATGGACACGGCGATCAGGATGAGGAGGTTCGCGTTCACGGCGAGCCTCGGCGAGGAGGAGTCGAGCAGGGCGTGCTGGGCCAACGTTCTACACTGGGAGCTTCGAAAATGTTTCACATTCCCCTCCGAGTCCCTTGCCAGCACGCACAGCTCGTACTTCGACCCGGTGTCCCGAAGATCCTGAATTTTGAACGATCTCTCGCTGTACACGAGATCCTTCTCGATGGCGGACTTGCCGCTCCCAGACTCTCTCACCACCACGTAAAAGTCACCGATGTCCTCCCGCGATGTCACGTACCAGGTCGCCTTCCAACTCTTGTCCTCCTCGTCGCTGGAAAATAAAATATTCAGTCCAAGATCCCAAATTATGTATATATACATAATCTACTCTAGAGTATACACTTACTACTCGATGTTTCGATATTTCACGTCTGGGGTGATGTCGAACTCGGGATACTCCTTCACGTCTCTCTCGCCGCACCCCATCAAGTCCTCCGTGACTCCAGACAACGGTTTATTCGCGAGAAAATGCGGGCTCTCGCAGCTAACGTTCGACCATTCCTCCGGTATTTCCGTTTGGGTGGCCAGCCACCTCTTCAAAGGCCTCACGTGGCAATCGCAGTGCAACGAATTTCCTGAACGATATTCGCACGGTTATGATTTTTTTGGAAAAATATTTTTTCTTTTTTTTTGACAAAAATACGACGTCTTACCGTGATACCGTACTTTCGTCCCGTTGTTTATGATTTTCATGAACGTTTCGTCGAATACACCGATGGAGTTGGACTCCAGGTCGAGAATCTTCAAATTTGGCAGCGGTAGAATTTTGTTCAACGGTAGGTGAGTCAGCCGGTTGTGACTCAGGTACAGATTAGTCAGGTTGGTCGGAGGTTCGAAGATATCCGGTTCCGAGAGGTCGTTGATCTCGTTGTAAGAAAGATCCAGCGTTTGTATCGCCGTCAAGTTTCCAATCACATCTGTTGGGGAGAAAGAAAGAAAGAAAGAAAGAAAGAAAGAAAGAAAGAAAGAAAAAAAGAAAAATGGAAATATCGAATTACAATCTCCCCGCATTATCCCCCCAGCTAGGCCCCGCAATAACTGTAAAACACACTCACATCTATGAATCTCGTTAACGTTGTTATGACTTATGTTCAAACGTAGAATCTTCTTCATCCCCGTGGTGAGCTCGTGAGTCAATACAGGCATAACGTTATAAGAGAGATCGATCTCCTTCAACCGATAAGGTATCCAAGGATCGTTGGGGAACGTTCTCTTGGTCACGAATGAGATCTTGTTGTGGCTCAGATTGACCCTCTCCAGGGAAAGGCAATCATCGAGGAGGCCGTGGGTCTTGTTGTCCAATTTTTCCAACTCGTTGTGAGAAAGATCCAGCGTTCTCAAAGAGACGAGGCCTTGGAACGCCCCGTTCGGGATATGGCTAATCTTATTGTTGGTCAGATTCAACGTCAACAATTGCAGCAACCCTTCGAAGGCGCGCACGCTCACCCTCTCTATTCTATTATCAGCCAGATTCAACTCGAACACTATAGGAAGACGCCCGAACGCCGCCTTCCTCAACTCGGTCAATTCGTTATCCTGAAATTATGTATACATATATATATATATATATATATATCGTGTCTGGAATCAAATAAAACGATCGATAATAATTCGTCGAACCTGCATATAAAGATACTGCAAGCTGGTTAGCGTGCTTAACGCCTCCCAAGGTGGTTTCGTTATGTTGTTGGAGCGCAGGTTCAAGGTCCTCAAGGTGAGCAAGTTTTCGAAACTTCCATGCTTGAGATTGTCGCCCAACCGATTTCCCGTAAGGTCCAACGAGAGGAGAGCGTTCATCGTGGGCCACACGTCCACGGTTGGAATTTCCTCCAACCAATTTTCGGAAAAGTCTAGACTGGCCAGGGAAATCGGTAACTGGAAGATCTTCGTTAATCGATTGTTTCTCACCGTTAAGCTCCTATCGATCATCGTGACTTTTATTTATATATATATATATATATATAAAAAGAATCATCCCGGATTCGTTACGATATCCGTTACCTGCAACTCGGCAATCTGGTCAAACTGCTGCGAGCGACGTCGTTCAATCGATTGTAACTCATGTCCAATTCTAACAACGTTGCCAACGGGCCGAACGTGGACGGTTTAATCCTCTCCAGAGAATTGTGAGACAGATTCAAGAAACGAAGGCTGAACAGAGTTTGAAAGACGGCGTTGTGGATCTCGGACAGATTGTTGTGGGACAGATCTATCGTGTGGAGCTCGTACAATTTTGGAAATGTCTGGCGGGGCACCGAATGGATCAAATTGTGAGACACGTTGAGAACTTTCAATCCTGTCATGTTGTGTAGAGGTACCTGCAATTATTATTCGATTCTTTCATTAAATAAAATTCTCGATGCTCGATGATAATACGATACGAATTATAATTCAAACTTATTCGAGTTAATTTTTGTTAAAAATTCTGACCTGGTTAAGAGCGGTCAATTGATTGTAACTCAATTGCAGCTCCGTGGCATAAGTCGCACTGTCGAAGGAATACTTGGAGATGTTTTCCAGTTTGTTGTGGCTCAGGTCCAGCATCGTGATGTTCACGCAATTCTCAAAAGCGCCCGGCTCTATCTTCGAAATTTCGTTACGAGACAAATCGATCCTGGTCAAGTAGAGATCCTTGAAAGAAAGTTTCTCTACGACGGTGACGAAATTTTCGGACACGTCCAACAGCTGAACAAGAAAAGAAAAAAACGATACAAGGATATAAGGAGGTGTAAGAATATTTCTATTTCGAAAAATTTTTATATCGAATATGATGTAGAGAATGTATTCGTACTTCCGCGAATTGAAGTTGATTGAACATCTGAAAGTCGATCTTCTTGATGAAATTTCGTGCCAGATCGATGGTTCCTATCCTAGTCACGGGTCCAAAGGTTCCTCTCCCAACGTCGTTTATCTGATTGTCGCTCAAATACAATCTTATCAAGAAACGCATGCCGCGAAAAGTGTTGGAGTCGAGCTTCCTTATTTTATTGTGGCTCAGATTCAATACCTTGAGCAAGGAGTTCCTCGCGAATGTCCCTCTATAATAATACGCGAGTTATCCGAATGGAATATTCTCACGGATAATAATCTAATCTCCTTTGCGCTCCAGGCCTTTTTCGCTCGGCTGAACCAACAACTCCGCACGGAATTTCAGACACCGCACCCGTTCGATGGATTTCTAACTTGAAATGATTTCAAATTAACGCATAAAATTTTTGTACTTTAATGTTTTATGTGTCTTTATCGTATAAAGAAAGAAAATTTATCGAATATTAAAATTTATATCGTTGTTTGTTTTGTCCGATATTTTAATAATAAAGCAATTATCAAGATGCATCCTCGATTTGTCAGGACAAGTATCGCGATAAAATGTCGTTCGATGTCTTTCACCTTTCTCATTCCGTTGAGAGTAAATCTTACGATCTCAATAACGTGCTCTCATTCACTATTATTCTTATTTTTCACCTTTTTTCACTACATCTCTATTTTCATCGCTACTTTCCTTCTTTCCATCGTCAATTTCTTAACGAATTAAGAAGTGATTTATTATTCAATAACGAAATATCAAATTCATTTTTCAATCACTTTCATCGCTGTGTTCCATGCTGAGCAAAATTCAAAAACTTTGAAAATAATATTTCTATTGCAACGACTGTCGAACTCGAACTAATGCCGAATATGTAATCCGATCCGCGGTCTAATTTTAGATAGAAAAAAATCTAGCCATTTGACAATACGTTATGTACACTTTATAAGAGTGTACATAAAGAGCTTAGGAATCTATTCGTGAAAGGGATAAAAAATCAAATATAAATATTGTCGCCGTTCGAATTGCCGCATCAAATCGAATGGTGCCTGAGAGTCATCATTGGAGCGCAAAGGATGAACGACCAATTTACCTCTTCAAATCCGCGATCGCGTTGTGAGACATGTTGCACCAGCCCATCTTCGTCAAATCAGCCAGATGAGAACCGTCGAGCTTGCTGATCAAATTGTGGGACAAGTCTAGATATTCCGTATCCCTCAAACCCTTGAACTGATTCCTCTTAAGCTCCTTGATCTTGTTGCCGTGCATGTCCAATCTTTTCAGCTTCTTCAAAGGCGCCAACGCTTCGACGGGTAACGAGCTAAGCGTGCCTACAGAGGAAAGGAAAATGGTTGGGTGAAGTAGGATGCGCGATTCTGGAAACGCGTACTTCCTCGAAAGAAAAAGGTAGCGGCAAGTACCGTTACTGATCTCCAACTTTTCGATTTTCGCTGCCGCGGCACTCTCCGCGAAACTGTTCGCCGGTAAAGTAGAAATTCGATGGCCAGTTATGCTCAGGATACTGAGATTCCCCAAAATTTGCAACGCCTCGTGCGGGAACTTCTCCAGGATGCTGTTTATCACGTGCAACTCCTGCAACGTTCTGTTCACCCCGAGAAAACTGTGCTCCTCGATCAACCTGAGCGGTGTGTCGACGAACTTGAGCACTCGAACATCGAGGGGATAGAGTGCAGGCCCGTAGAAACGTCCTTCGAACCAACGACCAACGACCCGACATCACCACCAGGATCGAGGATCGAGTTTGAGAAGCTCTCAATGAAAAGCGACACGCTTACCTATGTTGCACTTGTACAAAACTAGTTCCTCGATCGGCGCGCCCTCGTTGCCTAGATTGGAGAAGGCCAAGCTCAGGCTGGCCAAATTCGTGTTCTCGCAACGGATGTAAAGCCCTCTGTCGCTACCGCGTGCGCAAGCGCATGGATAGATGTATTTCGGCTCGTTGGGACATCTGAATCGTGGACCGGGTGGAACGTAACCGCCCATGATGGCGGGCAGGATCGAGATCCACAATAACGGGAAAGATATCATCTATGGGCAGTGGATCGACGATTAGCTTATTTCGTTACGTTTTCCTAAACGCTTGAAAAAGTTTCATTGGTAAATAATCCTGTTACGATCACTCTAGTTCGCGAGGGAAACGTGGGAAAGTTTTCTTGCGTTAGATCCGTGGCACGATAATAAACGAGCTTATATAGATAAATAGATAGACAGCCATAGGCGAATCGTATGCTTTTCCCTTCGATTCGAAACGTTCAACCAATTTGCCTTTCCTTTTCAACACGCGTAATTTCTCTCTCTCTCTCTCTCTCTCTCTCTCTCTCTCTCTCTCTCTCTCTCTCTCTCGTCTTCTCTTTCGCGTACCGTCATCAGTGTCATTTCTCGATCGAGGACGATTCGAGGCAGAGATACGCGCATTAGGCGTCCAAATGAGCGGAAATCATAGGAGCCAGGCGCGACTAATTTGTTTGCGGATCGGCGATCGCCGCCGAGAAGAGGATCTGAAAGAGGAACAAAGAGAAGTCGTAAAGAGACGAACGACCTCTGCCGCTACCTACCTCCCTGTCTACCTCATACCGTTTTTACGAGGAACTGCGCGTAATTCACTGTTATCCACTGTATATCATTTCTTCCAAGCCAAGACGATTCTGTCCATCCAGTTTATCGATAAAATAAACGAGAATCTTTGATTGAGGTAGATAATAAAGTAGTTAATTAAGATTTTTTTTTACCAAATTGTTCGCAAAGGGAAATCTACTTCGGTAGTTTAATCGTAAGCTGGAAAGCTGCCAACGGGATGATAGACTCTATCTATCGACGGGGGAAAGAAATAGGTAATCGCATTCTCTTGCGGAAAGTGAAATGGCGGCTCGCGATTAACTACTTTCCTTCGATTCTAACACGTGTTCGCACGCGAATATCGAATATCGAATAAATTAGTTCCGTGATTTTCTTACCGAAATTACGAACCGTGGTATGGAGAAAACGATCGATCGATCCGCGAAATTTCTTTTTTTACAGAAAAAAATGGAACTAGGGAACAGAAAAAAGAAAATTAGTTCGATTGTTGTGATCGTGGGCGGAGTAAAACATAGGCCGAGGATGCATAATGATTCTAAAACGATTCTGTAGTTATATTTTTATTTGGATCGATGCGTTAACGATGGCCTCAACCACCGTTTTAAACGGGGTCGATGAATTATTAATTAAAATTCATAAAAATTTTATAATCCTCGGTTAGAAAGGATTGAACGGTTCGCGAAACTCACTGACCTGAGAAACGAATAACCATTCTTTATTACGGTTCCAGTAATCTAGTAATTCAACGAGCGAGAAGGTAAAAAAGAAAAGCGGGCTGATCTAGTTTCGCCGCAACCAGTGTTTACGCAACGTTTCGAACATAATACTTCCATGACAGTTGAACGTAAATACAAAATACGGAAACACGAGTCCCCGAAACCCTCTTTTCTGATGCAAAAACGTTGGCAAACACTTGGATATGCAATAGGAAGCGCGAAATTTTATCGAACGATACGACAGACACGGGGGAGGTGATCGAAAACGGTCGATCCTTTCACTTATTCTGAATCGACCTTAACGATCACAAGCAATGAACCGAATCGCTTGGATTTCATGTTCCCTAGTAAAAAAAAAAAATGTCTTGTACCGGTTCTCTAACTCGCGTAATCTTACGTTTGACACTTGATATTTCTTGATATTCACGATGAAATTGAAGAGAACACGTAAAACATGTTACACGAGACACTTAAACACTTCGACTGGTTAAACAATCAAAAAAGAAATCTACGAGCTCGTGAGAAAAATTATTTCGATTCCCTGATCTCGAAAGAAATAACTGATGCGCGAAGAAAATACAATAAACTACGCTCCACTTTCTGAAACGAATTAATGCTATTATGACGACGCGACTGAAGAGAAAATTTCTAGAATAATAATCAATTGTTTCTACTCGATTTTCTTTCCGCTCGAATAAATTTTTCTTTTTTTCAAACAGAACAAAGTGACTTTTTGTTTCCTCTCTCCTTTTAAAAACCGAACCGAATTGATATTTTTCTTCGACCAGCCGACCTTGTACAGATTTCTGATCTCTTGACTTCGTGCCAGCATCGAATGCAAACAGATGCAATTTTTTTTTTCCGAAATTCGATACGATTTCAACCGGTTCGATGTGATCTCATTGATCTTAATGATGTATGAAAGGCGAGAAACTTGTCTACATTAAAGGATAATAAAAGAGAAATCGAAGAAATTAAAAAAAAAAAAGCAAGAATTATATCTAAATTGCATCAACCCATATATCTATCTACATATTGAAATCATCGCTTATCGAAATGAGCGGATGACACGCAAACGCACGTGGAACAGCGCATCGAAACACAGCTTGTTTTTATTAGTAGAGAGATATTAAAACAGAATGTAAATTTCGAATTTCTAATCCAAAACCACCGTATAATATCTTTATCGAGTGAATACCTTGAAATACCAGATGAAATACCTTGTTTGCACTTCGTCCAAAAAGATTCCGAAAGCACGGTGACAGTCGTTGCTTTTAGGACGAGCTCTGTCTTCGAAATCACATATTCGTCGTTCGACCAATTTTTAATTCGTTGTTTGTTTGTTTATGCGCGTTCGAGATCAGTAAGAAGAAAAAAGAAGAAGAAATTCACGTAAACGTTTCACCACATTTCTGTCTTGGAAACATTCTGCGAATGATTCTAGGATGAGGCTACCGTGAAAACTGAGTCGTGGCTCGAAACTAAAGAGAAAGGCGGCTCGAGAAGAGAGGGTTCTCCCATTGGCAGTTGATACACGCTGTCCTTTCGTGGACACGCGGGTTCTTTGGCTTTGAAACATTTCTACGAGACGAGGACGTTAAGGTTGCGCTCGATTGGCTCATCGAGTTCCCAGGACCGTACTAAAGCCTATTTATTCACGTTCCATAACAATCGTTTCGTATTGTTCTTTTCCCGTGTCCAAATTTATCGTTAAAAATCGAGAAAAAATTTGTCGTTAACTTGTAATTGCAATTTCCAATTTGAAAGTAATTTTTTTCAATCATTTATTTTTTTTAGTGAATTTTTTTCATGTGGAAAAGTGTTCAACGAAGGCGCATTTCTATTTGGTTTAGAAGAAAGCCGAGAAGACTGTCTGCGATTGGTGGATATTTGTGAAAGTTAGATCACGATTTGCTGACTTGTTTTACGAGCTACAGTGACATCTATTGGTACGTAAAAATAATCTTGTAAACGTTTTCAATCGATGTTATAGTTTAAAAAATTCGTGTTAATCAATTTTAATTAATCTAGTTTCTCTTCTTCAATGATAATAAAAATATTTTACACAAAGTCGATGATATTGTGAATATAATCGTAATTTAAATTTATTAAATATGCATAAATCGATAAATTATAAAACTACGGAGTGTTATAACAGAAGACTCGTTCGTCATGACAGTTACTGCCTCTAATCTATCGTATGTGTGCAATCAACGTGATGCGGCGCTGTAATATATTCGAGTTTATTTACTTCGATCGAAATTTAAACGTGATGGAAATCTAAAAAATTGAACTAATGAAATGATTAATCGTTAATAATATCGTTGTAAGTGAATTGTTCTTAATCACGTGAAATCGTTTAAAATTATAATTTTATCGAGTGAAAATGAAGAAATTAATACGATATATTGTCAATGATGTTAGAGAAACAAAAAGTGGATTCTAATTAAATGCTTATAATTTGCTTAATTATAATTGTATTAATTCGTAATTTAAAATTTCATTTCTTTGATATACGAATAAACTCGATCGGTTTTAATTTCGATCATAGTGTCGCGATCGCATTCTAATCGATAATGTTGGAAACGATACAAGGATGGTAACATCGATATCGTCGAATTCTCAGTGTAACGCAAAGCAGGTTGAATGTTAAATTTGTACGTCATTTTCACGAATAAATTCGTTCGTATGTTTCGCAAAAATTTTTCGCAATCTTCCTCTTTTTATAGTTAAGGAGTATCGTCCTTTAATCGAATTAACTACCAGCTTCGCTAAACGTAAAATAATAACCGGATATCCCGGTTAGCGATCGTTTAGACCATAACGAGAAATGGCGTTATGCTTTTCGAGAAATTACGCGGTCATTAAGGTCGATAAGTTCTCCGAGTGGCATGGTTCGAAAACCGGTAGTGCAAGTAAAGACAGCTACCACATCAGCCGAGTATCAGTGTGCAAAGATTGTGATTCGAAAAACGAAAATTGCGAGTCGATTGAACGAACATCTTACGCTTCTTTTTTTTTTTTTTTTTTTTATAAAATGGATCATTCGATGATATTCTTGTTGAAGTTTCTGCTCTGGGCTCGTGAGTAAAGAAAATTATTCAGAATTTCTTTCACGATGGAATCTTAGATTAGATCGTTTTACAGGTTTGCTTCTCGCAGTCGTTTCTTTACCAACCTTGGGTTACGTCGTAAGATGTTTCGTTTACGTTTAAAAGTTACGTTTTTTGGAAGTTCGAAAAGAATATCTTTTTTTTTTTATTTTTCACAGGATCGACATCGTTTAGAGACTTACGAAGATTTTTCCGAAGAACGACTTGGCGACTTGGATTTTTTTAACAACCTGATCTTTCGATTCTCTTGCGAGGGAAAACCGATTGGCCTGTACGCGGATCTAGAATACGATTGCCGAATTTTCCACGCTTGCGATGATTCGGGAAAAGGTTTCCCCGTCGTCTGTCCGAAGGATACGTTTTTCGATCAACGGGAACGTGTGTGCAGCGACGAAGGACACGTCGACTGTGAACACGCGAACGAATGGTAGATGCGATATGAATGAATCCTATTTTATTTTGTACTCTCTTCTTGTATTTTCTTCTTATCAACACATATTTTTTCAGGTTTTACTTAAACGAGTTGCCATTCTCGGTGGAAGTGACGGATGAGAATCACGCGCGAACAGAGGAAAAAGAAGAAGTTCCTTCGGTGTTGCCTCTTCTGTTACAGTGACGAAATTAGAGATTAAAACGTTTCGCGTTTAATTTTACGTGAAAGTGTGAAATAAAAAACATTTCAGTGAATCAGTTCAACTCGTATACTGTATAATTGATCTTCAAACGGTTCGACAGACCATCATCGTGATTCTATCGTATCTAAATGCGGTATTCGCATTAATTGTCTTTTAGAAATAGAGAAGCAAAATGAGAAAATCGATAGCGCTTTATTATCATTTAAAAAATTAGTGTTGAATAGAAACGTTCTTCAAGACTTTAAAATTAACTGATTTCTGATCGCGATAAAGCGCAGAATCCAATAACATTCTTCTCTTCCGTTGCTCGTTTTATCGTTTAACGACGAAGAAGAAAAGAGACGAGAATAATTACATTGCGCGCGCGTCGTAATCCAGCGATTCTTATCTTAAGAAAAAAAACTAGCGGTGGCGAGAACAATCGATAAAAAGGCGAGAGACAATGGGAGCGGGTGGAGAGGTGGTGCAAAGGAAATCAGTGGATGAGTGGATTCTGAAGCGTTTTATTTTTCGTAAACGTAGAAACATAGAGAGAAAGAGAGAGAGAGATAGAGCAAAACAATCGCTTACAGCCTTACAAACTAAGATTTTTATTCGATATAACATTATATATTCTTGCGTTGTCTTTGATCATCATCGAGCGTACCGATTACACCGAGATCGATAAGAGAGAGTTGCCCAACGAAATTATTTATTGTTATTAAACCCTTCACCATTATAAACCCCTCCACGAACGAACAAGAGCTGTCGCTTCTAATAACAAATTTTATCCGCGTGTTAACAAATTCGTGGAAACTACTATTTAGTTCGTCCCTAGCTAAGATCGAGTCTCTGCAGTCCGTGCTATTATATAGTAAGTTACGTGTATAATGTATATATATATATTTATATATATATATAATTTGTTTTTCAGGAAGACTGAGAAGGAGCACCGACGAACGATATATATATATACATATACATGTATATATATACGTCAGTCGCGTACGGAAGAAAATTAAAGCTAGCCCAATACAACGTTCATTGTTATTCAACCTTTAATGGAGTGAACGACAAACCCTGGAACATCGAAGTTATAGTCTTAACTCTTACATCAAGTCCCGTGCCTTAATAATATTAATATTCTACTAATAGCGTACAATCATCGTAATCGTGTAAACCGTGGAACCCATTCTATTCCTTAAAACTGGCTCGTAGGCTAAATCGTATATGTATCCCAAAAAAATCGAGCGATATCGCGTTACCAAATATTCCGGAATATCGAGTATCGCTTCTTCTATCCATCTATCAAGCGTGTAAAGAAAAAGAATCTATTCTAGAACGTTGGATCAATCTTATCGCTAACCGTAGTAATGAGGGGCGTATTCGTATTGAGCAGGCCAGGAGATGCCCGGCCCCGTCTTGTCGTTATCGTAAACGTATTTAATTTTCGGATTGTTGCTCGTTCCGAAAAGAGAGTCTCGCATCATCCCGAACATGGCCGTTCCCAGGGCCATGTTGCTGATCATTCCGGCCACCGAGGCGGTGGCACGCGCATGCGCCAGAGCCAATTGGAGCAAGAAAGATAAGACGAGGCCGAACCCTGGCATCATCTCCGACATTTTCGACTTGAGACCTTTGCTCAACGAAGCGGCGGTACCTTTTCTCGACGCGGCCTCGTCCCGTAGACGCGGCAATCGAACGATCAGAGTCGATCCTTCGTCGTTTTCACCTCGTTGGTTTTCATCGCCTTCGATCGCGTTATCCTCCACGCTTTCCACGTCCCTTAAACGTCGCCTATCCCTCGACGAGTATCTCTCGAAAAACGACTTGAAATAAGCTTTAGCTCGTTTCTTCCTTCGCCTCTCCTCCTGCCCCTCGGACAGCTCTTTCTCAAAATCGTACGCAACTCGATCCTTGATCGGCGAAATCTTCGACTCGTCTCCCCCATTCGGGACTCGTTTCCGAGATTCCAAAGACACGATGTCTACTCGTTTGATCGGTTCGATCGAGTCGTTCCTCTCCCTTCCCGAGAATTCGGACGATCGAGAGGAGTCGAGGGGCAGCAAGCTCGCTTCCCTCGCGAGTTTGTCGTGTAATTTCGTGCCGAAAAGAACTTCGAAAGCGTTGTACGCATCCTCGGAAGCGAGATACCCGGTGCCTTCGTCCCCCTCCTCCTCCACCGCCACCTCGTCGGAGTCGTTCGATTTGATCTTATCGAGAAACATGGTAATTATCTCGTCGTCGTTCATCGATCTCTTGATACCGATATATCCCTGCCCATCCTTCAACGATTGAACATCGGATTCCCTCGACCCTTCTATGCTCCTCTCCTTCTTCTCTTTCTCCTTCTTCGCCCTTTCCCCTTCCGGACGTTGATCCAAAACCTCCTCCATTATGTCGCTTATGATGGTCAGTATGCTGGGTAGGTTCTTGTTGTCTTTCAGCTTGGCCCCTCTCCCCTCTCTGGAGGACGAGGCCGGCCCGGCTCCGTCCTTTCCATAACCCTTGATCTTGAAGTAACCGATACTCGTCTCGAACTTCTTCTCGGTCAACGTTCTGTACAAGTCGAGGAACAATCTCTCGATCGACTCCTTCCTTTTCAACAATTCTTCTTCGAACTCGGTCGTTGACATGGCGAAAAATTCTTGCATCTGTTTTTCCGTTTCGAGGGAAGAGCGTGCCGTCGGATCGTTTCGTCGAAACTCGTTCGCGTTCAGAGAACGTCCCAGGATACCGAGACTCGGAAAATTGCTGACGATAAGAGGCCAAACGAAGATGGCTAAACACCTAATGAAGCTGAGACTTAGGATGCAATTCATGGTTTGCGACGCGAGCCCTTTGCTCGATCCTTGACCGTCCAGATCCTCGACGATCTTCAAAATTTCGTATTGATCCGCCGTCAAAGAATCTCTGATCGTGGAATTCAAATTGTCGACGAGATACTGTTTCGATCTCGAGGAGGGTTTCGTTTTCTCCTTAACTCTGATCAACAATCGAAGATACTCGGATTCCGTGATATTTGGGAACATCGGGGTCGACGAAAATCTGCCCGCCGTTTCGTAATCGGTATCGTAATAAGAATCGCGCGACTCCATGGTGCTTCTACGCTCCCTACGCCCTCCCCTCCCCTCCGATTTCTCCCCTCGCTGAACGATACCGATGGCCGACACGTGGACCTTCTCGCTCGAGATATCTATGGGGATGCCTGTCGGTTGGCCTGCGTACTCGGGGATGATTCCTCCGTTGTCTGAAAGAAAAAAGAAAAGAAAAAAAAACGGAAAGAGAGAAAGAAAGAAAGGAAGGAAGGAATCTGTTTCACGATCTCTGATAAATATCAATCAACGATTGATTCACCTACTGACGGCGTATTCGTTGCCTCTCGTTTCTTCGTCTCCTCCTCCTGACCTCCGTCCCCCGGATGACTCTGCCCTTCCGCCTCGCTCAAAGCCGTTCGAGAAGAAGCCGAAGAAGAAGAAGAAGAAGAAGAAGAAGCTTCGGTGGAGGACTTGGCGACGTCGATCTGCGAAATTCCTGAAGGCAGGGAGGATCGAGAAGGGTCGGAGGAAGGTTGAGGGATTGGAGGTAACGGGATACCGGCGTTCAGATCCGGCGCAACCAAAGGGGAGAAGAGGCCGGTTACGGTGGAAAGGTCTGGCAACGAGGAATTGTATCGCTTCAAAATTGGCCAACCGATGTTGCTCACGCAGGTGGCGAAACTGTAACGAGCCGAGCAATCCAGCATTCTCGTCACGTACGACGATCTTTCCGCCTCTGGTATCCCTTCCTCGATCCGTCTCACGATGACCACTTGCCTCTCGCTCAGCGCCGGAGGATCGGTCGCGTTCAACTGTGAACGATCCACCGATCCGTCCTCGCTTCTCCCGAGAATGTTCAACAGAACGTCCTCCATCCTCTCCTCCACCTCCTTCCCACCCTCCCGTTCCCTCGAGTCGCTCGTCCGCTCACCCGGCTTCCTTTCGAGCCCGGGCGCGTGCGGTGACGATTGTTCGGCGGAGTCGAGCAAAAATTGGAATCGGATGGAGCCGGGCGTCTGGGGCGAGGTCTGGCGGAGGGCGGTGAAATTGGGGAAATCGGGGAGCCAGGGATAAGTTTGGGCGATCATCGGCCAGGTCACGTCCCTGGTGCATTCCAAGAAGCTCCTCTCCCCGAGGCAAGGTAGAATTTCCCGATCGAACTCGGCCCTCGCTCGTATCGGCAACAAGTTCCTGGCTACGCTCATGATGCTGATCTGATGCTCGGTCAGGTGAGGGGGATACTCCTTCGCGGTGACCGAGTCGGAAAGTGGGGCGGGCAAGTTTGGGACGGAGAGTTGGACGGCTTTCAATATGTTGAGGATGATCGTCTCGGGTAGGTCGTTGAGTATCGGGACGAATCTCGTGTCGGTTATCGTCACCGTCGTGTCCCCGTGCTGCCTCGTCTTCACGTTCGTCTCGGACAGAGGGGGGGCGGAGTTGACCTCGGTCAGGGTGCCCTTCTGATTGTCGACCGTGGCGGTGGTTGTGGTGGTGGAATTGGCGGTGGTGGAGGTGCTCGACGCGACGATACCGAAATTGGGGAAGTTGGGCAGCCATGGGAAATATTGCAACAGCATCGGCCACGCCACGTCCCTCGTGCACACGAGGAAGTTGTTCCCCCGATCGATCAGGCAATCGATCATCTTGTTGACGAACTCGGGCCTCATACCGGGGGGGAGCAATACGTTGACGACGTTCACGATGCTCGCCTGTTGTTCCGTGAGCAACTCGAGGAATTGGGAATTCTTTATCGCGGAGGGATGGGAAGAGGAAGATTGGGACGAAATCGGCACGTTCGGGTTCAGGGATTGAAACTGGATCGTACGAAGTATGTTGAGAATTACGGTCTCGGGAAGCTCGGTGAATATTGGCACGAACCTCGTCCCGGACACGCTGATCACAGGCACGCCACTCGGGATCCCGTTCCGCGACTCTTTCTGGAAAAACACGCTCGCCTTCTTCTCCTTCCCCCCCGAGGCGACCCTTCCTTCCTCGGAATTAGCCCCCTCTGCGGCCGATCTCTGCACGTTCCTCGTCGTCGTAGTCGTCGCCCCCTTCCCTTCCTCCGCCACTCGGGGGAAGTCGGGTAGATCGGCCACGTATTTGGCGATCGTCGGCCAGATCACGTACCTGGCACAGTCGACGAAGTCGCCGTTGCTACGAAGATAGGACAGAACGTCGACGACGAGGATCGGGCGCGCCGAGGGGGGGACCAGATACTCGGCCAAGCGTAAAATTTCCATCTGCCTCTTGGTAAACGAGATCGTGTACGTCACGGCGTTCCCCGTCAAGATGAACGTCGACATCTCCCTCGCCGCGTCAACCGAGTCCCGCACCTTCGCCAGAGCGTCCAACATCTTCGTCTCCAACTCGTCCGAGGAGCTCAACCGCGCCTCCCCTCTTTGCCCCCCCTCCTCGAACGGGAGGAGGTAAGGAGGGAGCGAGATCGAGTCGCCTTTCCGGATGGCGGTGGGCAGATAGACGACGAATCTTGGAAATTGGAGGCTCGCGATTGGATTCTGAAAATCTTGCGACGACGGCGGCAGGGTGAAGAGGGTGTCGGGGAGCGAGGGGGAGACGCGTTTGATCATGGGCCAGACGGAGTATTTGAAGCAGGCCAGGTAATCGTACTCCTTCGCGCACCTGACCGTGTTCTGGACGAGTCGGGTCCTGTACGAGGTCGGGATCGCTCGGTCGGTCAAGTTGATGGTTACCGATCGATCGTCGAGCAGAAAAGCGACGTAGATGTCGGCCGATCGATCGAGGAAGGAGGGGGCGGGGGTGGGGTAGGGGTCAGCCCGGCGATCCTTGAGAACGTTGTGCAGGATCTGGATGATGGTTGCCTCGGGTTGCCCGTTTTTCTTCCCCGTTTTCGACTCGTCCGCGTCCACCACTTCCGGCAACTCCAGATCCGGGGGGATACCTTCGAGATAAGCGGGCAGAGGGGGGAAGACGGGATACACGTCGATTATCGGGTACCAGGCGTGGGAGTCGGGGAAGGGGGGCAGGGCGGGGAAGTATTGCTTGATCATAGGCCAGGCGATGTACTTGACGCAGCTGCGATACTCGAATCTTCTCACGCAGGAGAACATCTTCTCGGAGTAGTCGAGGCGCAGGGTTTGAGGCAAAAATTTCTCGGCCATCCTGAGTATGTACAATTGGTCGGTGGTCACCAACTCTTTCAACGTGTCGTTGTTGATATCGATGTATGAGATCCGTGGCTCCTCGCTCTGATACGTCTCCAAAGCGTCCTGCAAGATGTTGTACACCAACGTGTCCGGGGTGAGAAGCCTGATCCCACCTCCTCCCTGCCGATCCCCGAGATCTCGAGCTTTCCCCGACTTTTGCCCGTCGTCACCCTGAAACCAGAAGTCGAGCCAGCGCTCGTTATTCCTCGATACTCGAGAATCGGTGATGATCGAACCGTTGGCGCGATTTTTCCACGGAACAACCTACTACCTATATATTTACCCGAATACCGGGTTTTACCTTGCCTCCCCGCTGAATCTCTCGCCCCGTCCCGACCTCCCGTTTGAAATTCAACACTTTCGCCTCGTCCATCTCGCCCGCCTTGGTCCTCGCGTCCAACGCGTCGTCCCGGATCGATATCAATCTCTTTATCTGTCCGTCGACGATCGACTGTTGCTCCCCGTCCGATATCCTCTTCTCCTCCGCGTTCAGGTAAACGGTGGAGCTCTTACGAGTCTTGGATCCGCCGATACGTTGCTCGGCCAACGATCTGTACCCCCTTCCCTCCTCCGAACTTTCGTTGCAAGGGGCCTCCTCCTCTTCCTCCTCCTCCTCCTCCTCCTCCTCCTTCTCCAACTTGCCCGATTTTCGAAAATAATCGGGGATAATCGCCTGACGAGGCCCGACGCCGTCGAACCTCCTGATCCCCTCGCTCGTCGCCTCCTCCTTCACCTCCTCCGCCGATTTGCCAACGTCGTTCCTCCTCCTCTTCTTCACCGCGCCCTCGGCCTCCTCGTCCCCTCGCCTCCTCGCCGGCACCTCCTCCCCGTCACCCTCCACCTCCTCCCCCTCCTCCCCCACCTGCACCTCCTTCCTCTTCCGATCGTTGGACGCGTCGCCGACATTTCTCCTCCGCTCCTCACCTACGAGCGTCCACGGCTCCTCGCGTCCCAAGGTTTTTTCACCTCGACCCGTCGGGGTGTCGTAGTAGTCGTCCCGTAGTCGTTGGCCGGAATCGGACGAATTCGAGCGGGCCACCGTCAAGTCACCGTTCCCGTTCCCGACGAGCTTCGAACCCTCGTCGCGGTTCGCGCTCGGCAACGGCTCGCCACCGCGGGCGACGAAGGCGAGCAACAGAAACGCGAGAAAGAGGAACGACGGAGGAAGGTGGAGGCTGGTAGCGGCTGGTAGCAGCTGTGGGCGTCGCGAGCCGAGTGCTCTCATGGTCGCGGTCGAGAGGCGAATGTCTCGGCCAGTTGTGAGCCGGTTTATGGGAGCCGTACGGAGAGGTGTACGGTAATACGTATACCACCGTCCGGGGCGCATCGAACGAGGATGCTCGTAACAGTGTACGTAGAGAGGCTCGACCAACGAGACGCCGGTTCCGTGGGTACGAGCACAGGGAATTCCCATTTTTACACCGAGCCGCCCCTCTACGACCTACCCCGGGGTTGCTTGCGAGCGAATCGAGTTCGCGCTCTAACGGGTGTAAATGCATTTTCTTTTACTTGCTTCTTTTAGAGAGGGAGAGGGAGAGAGAATGCGCGTGTATTTTCTTCAACAAAGAACGATTCGCGGAATCGTTCCATTAAACACGACTGTAGCCAAAGTTGAGAGCTTCTTCGAGAGGGGATGAATCGTAATTAGATTCTTTTCTTTTTTTGCTTTTTCTCTCTCTCTCTCTCTATCTCTCTCTCGCTCGTTCAGAGAGACGACGACGGGTTCGAAGCGTTCCTCGATAAGAAAAATTTTATAAAGTTGGATCGAGGGTTGAAGGGAAGGAGGATATAGGTTCTCTCTTTACGGCTCGAGAAGCAATGGCCGAGGCGGTTAATACCGGTTGCTGACCGCTCAGTGTGTCCAACTCTGTTCCTTCTTGCGGCCAACACGGTAATGAGCCATTTAACCTTGAGCCAGTGGTGCTTGGAAAATAACGCGGCGCGCTCGACGCGAGATCCAACTTCGAGCTCTTTGTACTTTGAATTCGCTGCTACTTGGATTCTGTTGTTGTTATCGATGGAGGGGAAAAAAGTATAAATCGCCATCGCGGATTTCGTTTTTACCCCAAGCATTTTGACTCTCTTCATCAAATTGTGGAATTTTAATCAAAAAAAGAAAGGAAGGAGAAAGAAAAGTTATTCCGACAAATGACTCCCAATGACGAAGGAAGAACTTGCTCCGTGCGGGACCAAGAGGGCTGTACGTGAAGAAAGAAAGAAAGAAAAAAAGAAAAAAAGAATTCTCGCAGATTTTCTCTCTCCCTCTCTCTCTCTCGTTTTATTGTATCGTCCATCCGTTCCCTTTTATCGTTTTCTTAAATTATCCGCGGCAAGTGCGGCACACAGGTTTTAAGAATTCGCTACGATGGAGGGACGCGCGAGTTGATAGGAAAGGCAAGAGCAAAAAGAGGACGAAGGCGAAGGGTGGGGAGGGGGATGGAGGCATGATGGAGGCAATACAACAAGGTGGAATACGGTCGAGCAAGCAAGGTTTCGAGTTCATCTTTAATACGGCCTTTCTGGTTCTGGTACCAACCAAGGGAGGGGGGGGGATCGAATTTTTAAGTCCTTGAACGAATCGAGATGAGACCAGAGCGGGATGAAGCCGAGGGAGAAAGAGGTATATCTTTACCCTGGCAACAGGTATCCGCGCGAAGGGTAAAGAATTTTTACGACGCGCGTTATTTTCCAACATGGCCTCCTCCGTAGTTTCCTTCCTCGGCTCCTCTTCTGCTTCTTCTCTCTTTCCTTCCACACGCCGGATTCACTGCGCTAAACCCGATGCAGTAAACCTGTACCGCACTTTTCTTCCTTTTATTCATCGTAAGTACGTACCGCACTTCGCTCTTAAGGTGTGTTCACAATGCTTTTCACCGCCGATTATTATTTTACCGCGAGTAAAAACTATACCAATCGGAACAGATCTGTATCCGAGTGGGATCCGATCTGAATGGTTGCTTCCGTTTCGTTTATTCTCGTCCGTATTTTCTCTCCCTTCTCTTCACGTCGTCCGATTTTTTTTCAATTCGGATGAGGATTTTTTTATCTCGACAACAATCGAGGATCACCTGGAAAAGAAATTATCGAGATCGTTTACTAGGTTTCTTTCCCCTTGTTTCGTAAACAACTGCTCGCCACTTGCCGCATCGTTTAAATTAACAGGGCGTGAAGCACAATTGGTGAACGGAAGGACCGTGAATTCCCGCGCTTTCCCTTCTCGTCGATTTTTAAAAATTGAAATAGAAGGGAAAAGAAAAATTTTTCCCTTCTTTTTTTTTTTTTTTTTCACTTTGGCTACGATCACCGGTTGGCCCACGGGATTTAACGAATATCCCTATTCGGGGATACGAACGATTGTAGGACAATGAGTAGAAAGTGGGACGTACACTCGACGCGGAAAGAAAAATTTCCAACGATGCTCGAAGGGACCTATAGTTTTCAAATCCTATTTTTAACCGTCCCTCCCTCTCCTCTCCTCTGTATAGCCTCCTTTCTAAAAATCTGCACGCGCGAAAAGAGAATTTCCCTATATATATAATTAAACGTTTCATTACGTAACGATCGAAATGAAATTTATAACGTGTATATATATATATCGAATCGTCGAACCTTCTTTCCGAAAGGAAAAAAAAGTGTTTCAACCACGTCCACCAAATTGTCCGCGAGGAGGAAATTCGAAGCGCTGCGCAGATCCACCGCGCAGGCCGATCCTCTTTTGAGTTGGAACGGCTCCGTGGCCGTTCGTCCGAATCATACGCCGGCTCGTGCGAGCTCGATAAACACGTTCCACAATTCGTGGTTCCTTGGATTCGTCTGGATTCGTCCCGTCACGATTTTTCGATAATTCCGAGAATTTATTACAAAGGAAACGAACGAGTTCTCGAGAAAATTCTCTCACCTCGATCGAATACGCGGTGTCGATGAAGAGGGCCACGTGATCATCGCAACCGGTTCGATAATGCGGCCGATTGGTTGGGCGATGGCGTGCGCGTTGCTCGCGTCTACTTTTCCAAAAAGTGCATCTCTGCTCGCCAGCACGGAGGAGGAGAGTGTTGGTGTCGTTGCTACAGCTCACCGCCATCCAACTGAACGCGGCAAACCAACCAAACTGCTGCCCATTTCCAAGGACACTTCACCGGATCCCGATACACATCGACTCGAACAATTTATCGACGATGAGAGGAGCAGGAGAAGGAAGAGGAGTGTACAGGGTAAAAAATTTTAAATTCAATACGTTTCGTATAATATAATACATACAATAATTCGTATACAAACGATATTATTCCGAGTCGTATAGTATCGAGCCACTCGTGAACAGAATTCTGTACAATGATCTCGTGTCTAATGTTTAGAAGGAACGAGAAGAGAGGGTCGAACGTTCGGTCATAAGCGAATCCAATTCATGCTGATGCCGATGATGTACAAAATGGGAGTGATGATGACGATGCTGATCGTTTTGACGGCGATCTCCGTCAAGGGATTGCTCGTTGGTAAGTGAAAAAAGAAAATCTATCCTTTTAAAATAATGATGCCGCGCATCGTAAAATTCTACGCGTATAATAAATATAAATTCCCTTTCTTATCTTATCGCATCGATCTGAACGCGGACTCGCCATTACAGGTGCCATGTTATTAATGCTGAAACTGAGCACGCTAATAGCCAAGTTCTCCTTCGGTTGGCAGCACAATGCGCAGACTCCTCAACCGATCCATGTGCACGTTCACAACAGTCCACCAACGGCTCACAATCAAGCGTACAGCGGTTGGATGCCGGGGAGCGGTCCAGGAGGGGAACACCACTACTACTACAGAGCATCGTAAACCCTCTCCCCGTTGAAGAGACCGTTTCTTTGATATATATATATATATATATATATATATATATATATATATATATTTGTCGCAATTAGAATTAGGCTTGTCGCGCGTACATCGTTCCTTCCTCGACTATATATCTATACCTCAATTGTGAAGAAAAATCGCGATTATTTGTGATAATTTATTATACGATCAAGCGAACTCGATGCTACATTTGCTCTCCACGTACCAAAGGATATTTACTCTCAGAATTTAAGTTCTTTTTTATTTAAGTTTTATTTCGAAAAGTAAGACTGGCATCTCGCCTCGAATCGCATATAGATATAATCGAGAAAAAGACCAAATTGAGAGGCCAAAATTGTGTAAACTCGTGTTACGTTTAAGGAACAACAACCTCAACACGTTTACCTCAACTTAGCGATATTAGTATTAATTTATTATTGTAGTAAGGAAGCAGCGTTCTCCGTCTCGATAACCATCCACGTTTAATCGTAACAATTATATGTATATCATCGTAGAATGTATTTTATTAAATTTTTCTTTTTTTTTTCATCATCATCAAATCGATCCTTCTCTTCTTGCCTCGATTATTCTTTTCTCGACTTTTATCGAAAAAAATTTCGAAGAGGGGCTTCCTTTTCGAACGGGAGATCGAGAGAAACAAAGTTTAAAGTTTTCCGCGTTTCAAGGTCAAGCTTGATTCACACCACGCGTCCGCGACCAACCGCGTCGCGTCTTCCGTGCTCGACGAATTGCACGAGTTCCAGTTTCCCGGTTTAGTGGGGTAAGCAAAAAAAAAAAAAGAAAAAGAAAAAAAGGAAAATGTCCGCTCTCTATTCGCCGTGCATCCAGTCTGTTCACCGACTTCGAAACCAAGAACCGCTCGTCGTTTTGCTCGCGGAAAAAATTATTCGATTCGAGTTTCGGGGGACCGGAAGTGAGGCAAGTAGCGAGAGGCGGTGCCGAAACCGACGATTAACGGTACACACGGTCGTCGAAAGATTTTCTATTTCCTCTAATGGTGGAAATCGATGATAGAATGGTGGAAGGGAAAAAGGTGAGGGGACGCGCGAAGAATTAATTAGCTTTAATTAGAAAGGTAGTTAAAAAAAAAAAAAAAAATAAAGGTGTCGATTCAAGTTCCCATTTTTGCATTTAAGAATTAACTTTCCTAAGAGAGACGCGGCACGATGAATAAAGTGGACACGATTTTTTGGTGTTTGTGCATCGCGATTATGTACCAAACGTTGACGCGTGCTAACCATACTGCCAAGGATTCGAGCAACGCTCTGAGAATAGACATTTCTCGAGGAATTGCCGTGTACGTGACGAATAACGAAACGACCGTGAAGCTGAGCATGTCGTCTTTGATTAAAAGTAAGTAAAGAAAAAAATATCGTTTTTTTTTTTTTTTTTTTTTTTTTTTTTTGAAATTCGCTACTCACTCACGAATCTCGTCTTCTTCTTTCAAGGAGACGATCCAGAGGAACGAAAATTTGGAATAATAAGGTATAAAAAGAAAATTATAAAAGGAATCGGTATGGCGATGATGATGATCCCTTTGATGATGCAGGTTTATATCTTTTCTATGAAAAAGAAAAAAAGAAAAAAGAAAAAAAAAAAAAAAAAGAAAAAGGATCCAGCAATCTCGATACCGAACTCTAACGTTCTTTCGTCCGTTTAATTTTTCAGTTAGCATGGCTACCGGTCACCCTCTCCTCCATCAAATTGAGTTTAATCCGAAGCTTGTTCGTAGGGAAAATCGCGTTGGCAATAATGCTGTACAACACGCTGAGGAATTCCAAGAAGTCGGAAACGATAGTGATCCACAAACCTGAATATCACCAACACTATTACGAAACTTATCACGAACCGGAAGCGGATGACGACGGATGGTGGGGAAGAGGAACGAGATGGCACTTTTTCAAATAGAATTATATCCGTATAACGAATAATCGTGTTTAAGATAATTATTGTTCCAACGAAAATTATATATATGTATATATATATATATATAATTATATATGTATGTATATATATATATTTGTATATACGTCTGTGATACGTGATCGAAAATCATGATTATTTTACACGAAACTTGTCGAGAAGAATATTGAATTAATTTTCCGCACGATGAATCGGCGCTCGATCAACTATAGGAACTAAAATTAAATTGTGCTCTCGTGGAAACGTCTTGTGTACAGCGAGCGACCAACCAAGCACGAGATACACCGAGCGGCCCACTTTCGAACGGCATCGTAACGGCATTTCGGTCCAGATTCTGAACCACCGACCACGTACCAGTTTTCCCTTTTCTCTGCCGTTAAATTCGACGTCGAAATCGAAATCGAGATAACACCGTCCCGATGACGGATCGAGTGCTCGTTGACGCGCTCGATCGTCGTCCACGTTACTACGAACGTATCCGTGCGACAACGATACAACGCTACAGGCGATCATACAAAAATTCCAAAATTCTTCGCGAAGAATCGCGGCGTAGAAGGCGTTCCACTTTTCGAGGAGACGAGCGTAACGTTTCGTGGCGAGGAATATCAATATAGATCAATGTTAGGGACACGTAACGAAAGTACCGTCAATGTCGAATTTATCGTTCAAGGTTTCGTTATTCGATGTGCGTATACGTGCCAGAAACCCACCTTCCGTGCGCGTTTAGTTGGTATGCTATCGCCATCAATCGGCCGTATCGACAGCTCGCCATACGAAACGTGCGCCTCTATATACCGTTTTCTAAACTACAAAATGCACGATGCACGCCGCATACGTTACGCGGCAAATCGGAATCGAACCCGGATTAATCTCTGTATGCTTAGATCGCGCTACGTGAAAGCATCCAGCTTTTTCAGAAACGTAGCACACCGTTCCAATTCTCCCTGCTCTCCCCAACGCTCTTGGTCCCAGTTTCAAAACTCTCCTCTCCAAGAGGTTGGAAGCCCTTTATCGCCTTAATCTTTTCCTACGTTTACGCAACTCCAAACATGCTTTCACCTTTCACCTCGACGATATATCTCATAAATCGTTTTCTATTTGCGCGCGTCGTCGGCGCAACGTTTGATTCGCCTTTTATTATGATCCTTACGACGAAACATTCGATAATCTCGAACGAATGGATATATTTTACGATGATCATCGATATATATATATATATATATATATATATATATATATCCATATGATGAATTATCATCGAACTCGCGTTTTACAAAAATTGCGCAACGATGTATCGAAAGCTGTACACGCCGATCGAGAAAGTAATTATCGTAGGATGGTTGGCTCGTCAAAGAAGAAGAGATTCGCATATGATTATATCGGGTAGACAGAAAAATTGCGTTGTCTTCGCGATTGGTAGATACCGGTAAGGAAGGAAGGTTGTAACGAGAACTTTTATGGCTTCGTGTCTTCGCGATAAATACGCGTACTCACGATAGGCCGTAAAAAGATTTATAACTCGTGTTTGTTGTCGTTGTAATTATTCAAGCGCATGGGATGAAAGCGAGCGTCGAGCGATTCTCCTATTCTCTCCATTCGGATTTTTTCTCCAATAAACGGATAACACGATTTCCTCCTCTCTCTCTCTCTCTCTCTCTCTCTCTCTCTCTCTCTGGCAAATATTTTTGATAAATCGACAAAGAGAAAATTTTTTTTCTCCCTCCCTACTCGTTTCGTTCCATCGTTCAACGGTCGAGAAGGATTCGAACACCTTCGCTCATTCAATCTTTCGATCGTAAAGTGTTTGCAGCATCTCTCCCGCATCCGACGACGATTCCTTCGTTTCCTCGAAAGGGGAAATAATCGTTTAATAATAAACGAGTATCGCGTCGATGACGACATTTCCCTCGAGGGATGTATCGTCGAACCTTCCTCTCCCTCTGCGCCATTTTTCTCTCGTTCGTTCCCGTCTCGATCGCGCAGAACGGCCAAGATCACCGAGCCGACGTTGCCGTTGTCGCTGTTTCTGCTTCCCCAGAGGACAGACCGTATCGGTTCGCCATCAACATCGTCGATTTCCAGCACAAACACGAGAACAAAGGTATGTAACTGTGACTCGAGAGAAAAAAATAATAATAAATAATAGATCGAGAAAAATTAGGAAGAACGAGTTTGGGGAAAAATTACTTTTTACGTGTCTGTTCGATTAAGATGCCGATGGGATTATCACGAGGGAGTATGGATTCGTAACCGTGGACGGGATGTATCACGAAGTTCCTTCCCTCAAAAGGGACAAAAACGATAATTTCGTTGTGACAAGGCGTTATAAAAGAATCAAAATTCGTAAGTTTTCGAAATAAGTTTGCGAAGAATATTATTATTATTATTATTATTATTATTATTTTAACGAATCCTTCTGTGAATTTAAGTGAAAGATACGCAAGGGATATTGAAAAATGGGGCGAAAGGTGGGAGGAAGCTGAAGGAGGCAATAACGAGGGCGTGTCGCAGAATCGCAGGAAAGGACAAGGCTGGAGATGTTGCCGGCACGCGGAATACGATTGCGAAACCGTCGACTTCCGATCCTTTGTTGGGAAGGATGAGGGGCGCGTTAATGGAAAAGGAGAGAGATGGTAGGAAAACGATGGATGGATTTTTTTTAACGTTAACTCCTCTCGCCTCGCAAGTTCATTAATTTGATTTTTTTTATTAATTTTTATAGACGGCTCGTCCCGAGAATGGAACAAGAGTTTTTTAAAGATACGAGAGGGAAGGCTGATGAGAAACGTGATCGATCCCGCGACGAGGAATTCGACGAAGAAGAGGGAGAAGAAATTTATTTCTCGCGAGAGGAATTCATCCGAGAGCGTGGCTGGGGACCACGTAAATGATCGAAGGAATAGCGAATGATGATCGATATCGTTTCAATTTCACTACAAGTGAATTGATTATCGAAGCGAACAATTATCGAGAACACGAATTATTGAATTATTTGCCCAACGAATTTGATCATCGACCCAATGTTTCTTTCGTTAACGATGAATCGCGACGACTCAAAGGGAGTTTCCTTCTTTTACTGATCTTCTTGCAATGATCTTCTTCTTACTTTCTTTTCTTCTGATCTTTCGCGAATTTCATGTAACGCGAAAAAAGAAAAAGAAAGAAAGAAAGAAAGAAAGAAAGAAACATCGACGAGAAATAAAAAGGAGAATGAAAAATCGTAAATCTCTCTCCTCTCCTCTCCTCTCCTCTCCCGATTAAATTTTCAATCGCTTCTCAATTTATCAAATTAATCAAATCAAAGCAAGCGTTTTCACTCGAGCGCTCGTAGAATCTTTTGTGCCAACGATGATTCATCCTGCAATAATCATTCATAACCAGCTGTGACCGTTCCCTCTTTCGCGCCGATTATGCGCAACGTTTTCGATTATGCTAATCGAGAGCAGAGAATATATAATTGCCTCCGTCGATTATTATTCGAAACGAATGGAAACGAAGAGATTTTCATCTTATTTTATTTCGATATCGATAATCGTCGATACATGGACTTGCAATAAATACTCGATCGAATCGAAGATCCATCCGATCTTAGGGATAAAGGCGCGAGTTATTCTTAATTCGTTCTTAATTCCATGGCGTTTCGAAAGCAACGCGATTTCACTACGGCCCCGTGCCTCTTCCTGGCTTAATGAAAAAAAAAAAAAAAAAAAAAGATGGCCAGAAGAATTAGGTTGTATTAGCATCCCAGCGTTGTCCAAGCGGAATTTCTGTCGTTGGTCCACGTACGTGACTCACACCCGTGCCAAGCTACACGAGTACAATGTTAATTCCATTAATGCTTTTCAGTAACTAGAAAAAAAAAAAAAAAGAAAGGAAGAAAGAAACATCGTATCGACGTGTCATTAAAAATGTAACAGGAAACGCGATGGAAATTATTGGGGATGCCAATTTCCAATAGGAGGGAGGGGAAGAGGAAGGAAATTTTTCGATCGACGAACGTAATAATTTCTTCGTTAAGACCCCTTCCCTCTCGTATCTTTAAAACTCTTTATTATTATTATTATTATTATTTTAACGAATCCTTCTGTGAATTTAAGTGAAAGATACGCAAGGGATATTGAAAAATGGGGCGAAAGGTGGAGAAATAACTTTAAAACTCTCGTTCCATTCTCGTCTATTGAAATTAATAAAAAATCAAATAGATAAACACTTTGGAGGAATATCCGCGTTAAGAGAAAAATTGGTGTGTTTGAAAGAAATTGGCAAGGAGGAAATTTCGTATTCGTATTTCGTTTCGAACGAAAACAAAAATGACTCAACTCGATAACATCCCATGGGGAAGTTTTAGGGATATCTCTCTTTCTTGTGTTGCACGCGCGGATAACCGGTAAAAAATTCTTTCCGATTCACAGGAGCGGCCCGACCCCACGAGGCGGCCAGAATTCCTTAAGGAGAGCCAGACGCGGCTCGGTTTCAACAACAATGTGTGCCCACGAAAACCGTGGCAGTGGGGGGATGGCGAGCGAGGTCCGACTTGAAACAGGACCAACTTGATTGGCGGAAGTCCAAAAGGAAGGGGTTAGAGTCTGATATATGTTCGACCACGCGCCTTCCACAACCACTTCGTGCCCGTGACACACGGTCCAAGGATATAAAAAGCGGAAGGCCGAGTCGAAGACGCAAGAGGATCGAATTGGAGAAGGGTGAAGGACGAAGGGAGGTAGTAGACGAACTGTGAATCAGTGGAGTTTTCGGATCAGTGTTCAGTTTCGCCCGCAAATTTTATAATACGTCGTCCCTCCCCCCTCCCTCCTATCATGAGGATAACAGTGACCATCTTGTTTCTCCTTGGGATTACGATCCTCCACGATGCTCGGGGTGAACCGATCGGCAAAACCGAGGAGGAGAGTGACGAGGCGTTGCTCGACTGCGCGTTACAGGAGAACGCGTTGGGATGTTTGGGCGCGAGGCTGGCAAGAAGCATGGATCGAATCGAGATGCAAGTGACGGGGAAGAAGAGCGAGACACCGATGAGCGTGGTGATAGAGCAGGCTGGTAATTTCGTGGCCGAACTTGTCGACGACATTCAAAATCCCGGAAGAGCGGATCAGGTGGACGAAACTTCACAACTTGGTGAACACGGTGAGAATAGTGATTTTTTTTTTTTTTTTCGAAGTAACGAAATTGATTTGATAATTGATTTCTTTGCGATAAATTTCTGTCGAGTCGNAAAAAAAAAAAAAAAAAAAAAAAAAAAGAAAAGGTAGTAGCCACAAAGGTAGTTGGATGAAAGAGAAAAGCTGAGAGAGCACGTGTTCGTACGCGCGTCGTAATAATAAAAAAAAAAAAAAAAAATCAAATGTGAATTTTTCCACGTGTCTCGATCGACGTCATAAAAAAAGTCGGCTGACTTTTACCAATTTTAAAATTAACTCGTTTTATCTTCGAAACTCGACGACGAGATTCGCCTTATTAGCTTTTAGATATCCAGGAAATTTCACTGACCTCTTTCTATCTCTCTCTTTCTCTCTCTCTCTCTTTCTCTTTATCGTCGTCTTTTTTTTCTTCGCCAATCTTTCGAATCGAAACGATAACTTTGAACAGCATTCCCAACTCGTTTATTTATTTCTCGTCTTTTTTCAACCTTAAAATACTCGAGAAAAATCGTGCGTTTAAAAACAAACTCTACCGAGATAGATAGAGAGAGTAGAAAGAAGATAACCGAATTCGAACTTCCTATATATATATATATATATATATTAGTACGACGGAGTAAAGCAAACGAGACTAATTACATTTACACGGAACATTTCACAACGTTGCGAAGAAGCGCATTAACACGTGAACGTTAGAAGAAGACGAGGCGTGTAGTAGTACGTTAGAGGAGAGAATACGTGTCTTTAGGTCAACTAGGACACGTTTGACTTGAAATTCAACATTCGATACCATGTCAACTTCTCTCTCGGTTTGCACACTATTTAATGATTATGCGACTTGGGCAAATTTGCTCTAACGGTATCATCGGTGCTCGTTATCCTACACTTCGTTGTCGTCATTTGTCGAGCGAATCGTAGAAATTGAACAATTTGACGGAACAATCTTCCGCCAGTTGAGGCAACGATATCGTAATTTCTTTTTTTTTTTTTTTTATTGAAATGTTTGAATTTTTTTCGTCCAAAGACCGTGACTTTTTTTTCTTTCTTTTTTTTTCTTCTTCTTCTTCGAGGGGAAAGCCATCATCATCATCATCAGAGGGGAATTATGTGGCCCACAAGAGTTGAAAGTATCCGGGTCACCGGACTCGTTCATCTCAAATTATTCGTATTACTCCGATTACTCTTATCAATTTTTTTTTTTTTTTTTTTTTTGCGACGAAACCAATTCAACCCGTAAAAACGGTTCGTCAAAAACGGTTAAAAAGGGAGAAGCGAATGAAAGTAGAGGCACAATACGAATTAGCGTGTAGATCTTGAGAACGTCTCGTTACACTTAAACTCGCGTAAACAATTGATGGTGGCGCAAATCGCGGCCACCTAGGCGACCGAAGAGAGTGAGTTCGTGGTAAAGAACGTGCCGAGTGTTTTCATAGTATCTGTGTCGATTCGCGCGTTATTATTAACGTTTCCTCTTGGCGGAATAAAGAAAATTTATTATTACGTATTATTTCTGGATCCTTTTTCTTTCTAGAAATTATAATTAATAACAACAGATATTCCAACCAAAACTTGATTCATTCGCAAATGATTGATCCAAGCGACACGTTTCTCAAACGTTTCTTAAACGGAAGAATTTCGATTTGCAGAGGAAGGACGTGGGAGGAGAAAGAAGAAGAAGAAGCAACTGCAAAAGCTGCTCGGTTTGGCGATGTTGTTCAAAGCCAAGCTCAGCCTTCTCCTTCAACTGATCTCGACTCACTTCCAGCTCAAATTCTTCTTCATCGCTATCGCTACCCTCGTCATCAACGCCACCAAATTCTGGTTAGATCTGAAGAACGCTAAACCGTCCAAGGTGATATATTACGAGCACGCTCAACACCAGCATCATTACGATCACGACGATCACGATCACAATTATTGGGGACGATCCTCCTCCAACGATTCTCCTCAAGATTTGCCTTATTCCGCCTACGCCCCGAAAAATTGATGGAGGATCGAAATTCTCAATCTTTCGATCGAGATTACGCGAAATGATGAGCAGCGAAAAAATAAGGAAAAAATCCTCGCTGCCATTATTTTCTCCCTACTCAGGTTTCTAGGTAAAAAAAAAAAAAAAAAAAAAAAAAAAAAAAAAAAAAAAAAAAATTGTTAATCGTTGTTCTCCTTCGATCGAATTTTTAACAAATATCGTCTATATTAATAATTAACACGAATATGTGGTGTAATCCATATGTTATTCTTTCTATTTAAGTTATATTTATTTATTTATTATTTTTTTTTTTATTTATAGAAAATCGCGTTTCTTTTTTGATATGAAAAAAATAACGCATTTTCTTTTCCACGTACCTTTTTCCTTTTCTCTTTTCTTTTTTTTTTTTTTTTTTTTTCTTCATTTCGCAAAGTCTTCGATAGAGATCACATTCTCGAACCAAAGTCTCTACTTTGCGTACCTGTTTTTTATTATTATTATTATTATTATCATTATTATTATTATTGTTATTATTATTATTGTTTATTATTTATTCTCACCCTTCATACGATCCGAAACTTTGTTGTAATTTATTCTCTATGAAATAACACTCTATATAAGAAAGCGAAAAATAAATTATTTTGGTAATAATTTTTTGCAAAAAAATCTTTTCTTTCCCTGGATAAAGAACCCTTTCCTTGGAGTGAATTCCTGAAACGTAGATCGTCGATTTATCGACAGTTGAATAAGAAGAAGCGTGGATCGTACACGATCGAGAAAGCTTATTGAATCGACCTTCTTTCTCCGCTGGAGTGTGGACCAAGTTTAAAACTAAGCTTTTGTATTCCTCGTCATCGGCTGGAAGAAAATGCGACGAGAATTTTCAACGAGCGCCGATAGTTTCGTCGTGGTTGTTCACCCGGCCGTGATTCCTATCGATTGATAAACATTCGAAATATTTCTCATCTCGCCTCTCTCTCTCTCTCTCTCTCTCTCTCTCTCTCTCTCTCTCTCTCTCTCTCTCTCATTTGATCAATAACAAATATATTTTCCATTTTGATTTTAACTCTTTTTTACGACAATCATACCTTTTTAACAATCGAAAAATCTGCTTCTTCATAACTCATCGAGAAAACAAGCGCGAAAACAAATTTTACGAAACGTCCTTGAGCGAACAGGTGCATAGACATGTGACAATATATGTGTATATATAAGGATAGGACGTGTTTCGTGGCTGTCATGGTCAATGACCAGAAACGGATTCGCGTTTCGTAACCGATCAGACCCTCACGGATCACTCTTATGTATTCAAATCCCGAAGAATTGGCGGTGAGTGACGCGACCTCGTGACGAGACGAGGACCCGCTCTGCCGACCCGGTCCGCCCTCGGCCCTCGATCGTCCCGAAACCTCTTTTCGGAATCGTGATTGGACCGCGGCCAACAAGACCGCGTCAAAATCATCGAAATTCGCCGGAGAGAGAGAGAGAGAGAGAGAGAGAGAGAGAGAACGGGGAAACATCCTTCCGCCGTTCATTTATAGAATTTCTTGTTGGGACGGCCTACGTCCAACTTTTCTTAATCAGCAACAGTTCAAAATGTTGAATCTCTTTTTTTGCTTAACGCTTTCCATCCGCATCCGTCCTTCGGAGTCGTCCTCAGGAGTACCTCGGCGAGTATTCGCCGCACCCCTGCCTTCGATTCCTTTCGAGGCAATCCTTTCGAGAGAGAGAGAGAGAGAGAGGAGAGATTGGATCCGATCCAAAGGGCGTCTCTCTCCTCGGCGAAACGAAATTCTTTTCCTCGAGAGGAAGAAGAGTAAAGAATAGGAATATTTAACGAGAGAGGGGAGGGAGGGAGGGAGGGAGGATTGGATTTTCGATGAATATTACGCGATGCCGGTGAGAAGGAATTCGATTCGCGCTTAGGGGAGCGTATCGGTCGGTACATCAACGGGGGAAAAAAAATTTGCATCGGGCCTTCGAGGATGATGTGGACGTCTGGATGGTCATTGGCAGACCAAACGTGATGAAATTACTAATTCGACGTCTACCGAGAATTGGCCATTCATACAATATTCAAGATCCTCTCCGCGCGGGTTCCCTATATAACACCCTTCTACGGAACGGAACACCAGTCTTCGTCCAGGATCTTCGTTTACACGCAACTTCGAAAAACAGTTCGTCCAATTCCATCCCGTATACTCAATCCTAAACGAAATCCGTTCGAATCATGATTCGGCAAACTTGTCTAATCCTGTCCCTCGCCCTCCTCCTCTCCATCGTTTGGACTTTTCCTCAACAGCCCAAGTCAAGGAGGCCGATCCCTCAGTTCAAGGTTTGTTGTCTCTTTCCTTTTTCTTTTCTTTTTTTTTTTTTTTTTTTTGGAGCGAAAGAATTGTTTCTTTCCCTCTTTCAGAACAAGACCGGGGGCCTGGAACTTCCCGACAACGCCACATTGATCAGGGAGAATATAGTCGACAATTTCTCATGTCAGGACAGAATTTACGGATATTACGCCGATATGGAGAACGATTGTCAGATTTTCCACGTTTGCATGCCACAGATCAGGGGTTCGACCAGATGGAGCTTCATCTGCCCAGCGGAGACGGTGTTCAATCAAGTGAGTAAATTTCCCCTCCTATTTTTTCTTTTTTTTTTCTTTTTATTATATTATATACTCGATAAATCGATCGAGGGTTTTTTTGATCGTTTGTGGATCGTTAGGCGACGTTCGTTTGCACGAAAACGGAAAACTCGATACCATGCGAGGAATCTGAGAAATTCTACAACTTGAACGAGGCGATTGGCAAGGAGGTAGAGGAAGAGGAAAACGACGTGGAGGAGCGGCCTACGAAGGAATCGGACGCGGAACCGATTTCGAGCAGACCTCCGGCCAGGACATCGAGGATCTCGAATCCGAAGAAAATATCACGGGATCAGTGATCTCTTGCGATCGCTAAGAAGTGCGGCTATGTGTGTATGTATGTATGTATGTATGTGTGTTTGTTCCTAGAGGAGAGAAAACTCGTGAACTTTTGAAAGAGAGAAAAAAAAAAAAAAAAAACAAGATTAATTACGCTTGCTCGAGGAAAAGCAAAGAATAAGTTTGCTTAGTATTTAAATATTGATATTTAAATATAGAATAAAAATTGTATCGAAATGTACATTTGAACGTATTAATATAAATATATATGTAGTTTGGCGAAAGCGCACAGTTAGAGAGAATAAAGGGATTGTAGTCTCTGCAACAAATTTTATTGCATATACAATGATACGAGTAATTAATACTGCTATTCGGTAATTAAGCAATCACACGTATAAGAAAGTTTACACAAATGTCCCAAGCCTAGAACGAAACGAAAAGTGCGACGACGGTGCAAGAGATGAATGCGTTTAAAAGCAAAAAAAAAAAAAAAAAAAAAAAGTAACTTAATATCTAACGAATTAACGAAACGTCGAAAAATAATAATTCGTATTATCGATGCTAAAAAAAAAGGCTATCGTTGTCGATAACGTTTTTTCTTCTTTTTTTCTTTCATTTTTTTTTGTTAACTATTTATTTACAACGATTGATATGTGTCGATATTGGTCTTGCGACTTAAGGATAAGTCGAGAATAAATTATAATACGGTAACGGTAGTAAAGAAAAAGATATACTCGAAACTTACTGTACAGGAAGGATAAAATGAAAGTAAAAAAAGAAATACACGCACACACATACACACGCACGCACGCTCGCGTGAAAAGCGGCTAGAAATAAATCCAATCTTTTTTTTTTTTTTTTTTTTCATATTTTAAATTCAAAAATTAGAGAATTATTTACGAAATTGCAAAAGTCACCGAAATCCGTCGGTAATCTTCGGCTTCTTTTCTATTCGGTATCTTTGGATAACTAGCCATCATATCGTGGATATAGGCAATACCTATTTCCCCCGTTTATAAATGCCGATAAAATAGAATTAATAACAGAAAAAACAACTTTAATAATTAAATCAACTTTCGCGTTCAAACACAATTTCACCGCGATCAAGAGAGACTCGTGAAACGTCATATCAATACTCAAAAGCATTTTATAATCGAAAGAAAAAGAATTAAGATCAACGTAAATCTCACCTCGTAGCCATTGGGTGGCATTTCGTGAGAATTAAACGAAGATAATATACATTAAAAAAAAAAATAGATATCTAATGTTTAATATTTAAATAATTGAAGAGGATACAAGTATTCTTTTTTTGTAAATCACTCGTATCTTTAACAAGCCTTTCACAAGCAAGTTTCTAATGTTATTTTATTCCTTAATCCATAAATATCTCTGTCTTAAACGAACTAAACTATATAACGCAATCTAAAATATATTAAATATTTTCGACCATATATATATATATATATACCCTGTATTGTCCATCCCGATAATCAACGTAACGTAATTTCCTTCGAATCCTCTTTTCAAATTCTTCTTTTATCGACGGAACGGAAAAAGATTCTAGTCGAAACGAAAACAACTTTTAGGCCTCGGAATCTACGGCCAAATCGGCCGCCATCTCTTCCGGACTCCTAAGATCTATGGCAAACCTTCTCTTCGCCCCGTTTTTGCTCGCCATTTCCGCCATTTTATCCTGCGCTTTCACGCTCCTCGAATAGATTTCGAAAGCAGCGGCCAGAGCGTAGGTGAGCTGCCTCGCGTGATGTTTCGACTCGCAGACGAAACCGTAACATTCGAACGGCGACATTCTTCTAAAATTGTCCGTCTCCCGTACAACGATCATTGAGAATACTCGGGTATAGACGAGATCCTGGACCCCGTAAGAGATCGTCTCGATTGGATACATCTTGACGAAGTTGGGATCCTGCTTCCTTTTCTCGATAGGCAACAGAGCTACGCCTTCCTCGGATACGACCAGTTTGATCAGAGGCAGCATGGTGTTGGTCGGTAAGGCCTTAGCCGCAGCGACCATGTTATCGACTGGTCTCCTCGTGTGCTTGATACCCCAGAGGCCCCTGGCATCATGAGAGCCCAAATATTTCACCTGAAAAGGGCTCCCCTTTAGTCTCCGTGACTCGAGGCTCCATTCAGGTAATAATTATACCTCGAATTCCTAACGTGGTACACGAGTTTTGGTATACGGGTAATAATAAAAGTTAAGAAATTACGGATTTACGGTTGCGTGATGTAAGGTTAGGCGCGAAGATCGAGAGTGCGCGTGGATAAACATCGTAAAATATATATACCTGGAACACTTGAGGAAGATCCGTGGAACCTTCGAAGACGTTGTTATCGATGGACAGACGAGATAGCTTTGACACGAGATCTTTCCTTTCTTTGTCGGTCGAAGACACGGGACTTTTCTCCTTCTTCATCTCGACCACTTGACTTGTCTGCGTTGAAGGAAAATTTTCGATGTTACAAATTTTTCTTCTTTCTAACGATTCTAATAGATTAAGAAAAGACAAAAAAGAAAAGAAACGTTGAAGGGAATTACGAATTAATTAATTGCGACGTTGCGTTAGAAAATTGCGACATAACTTCTTCGACATCTTTTTCGATTCTTGAAAACAATCGATGAACGAATATATTCGATCAATTTTAAGAAAAAGATTTAAAACAAAAATCGTTTGATACTCACGCTACTATTATCGAGTCGAGTGGTGCTAATTTTCTGTGTTTGGCCAGGCTTCACTTTCAGATGATACTCGACCACGTTCGGTATGTTCGGCGGGTTGGAAACGACTGAGGAAGCCGGAGAGGATGAAGAGGCGGTCGCTGCCCGCTCAGGGACGGCGTTTCCGGCCTCGGTCGCCCCGAATAACGGCGCTGTCATCACTGATCTATACCCACCACCACCGATCGTTTCCCTCGTCTGACAAATTCGAAACAAAAATTTCCTTTCACTCTTTCTCCTCGTCAATTTTTTGAAATTCGCTTTTAAATTTTTAACTTTTTTTTTTTTTTTTTTTTTTAATCGAATAAGACCTTCTCTTCCGAGCAATTATCGCCGACGATCGAGGGACAGCTATCCTTGTCACTTTTCACCGTTTTCTTAGAATCAGCCCTTTTCGAAGCCAAGCCAAAGTCCTCGTCTTCCATGGTCACCGGTACACGCAATCTCTTCTTTTCTATCTACCACAAGTTCCTCTGCCTCGTATCTTCTTCGATCCGTTCCTTCAACAAACAACGTCAATTTTTCAATTATAAAAATTACGATTATAACACACAAGCGACAAGAGTACTCTGTATCGATCATCGCGCTTTCAACAATCGTTCGTTCGAGGGAAACAGCATAAAATCGTAAAAAAATGGACAAAATGATCGTTACGAAGGGCAACTTTTATTTTCTATTTCAACTTTTACTATTATTATTATTAAAAAAAGAAAAATGGAGGTCATGACGCAACGAGCAATACAACATTCACTGTGGTAACGTTTCGCAACGTTATTATTATTATTATTATTATTATTATTATTGTTATTATTATTATTATTATTTTCATCGTTGAGCCGCGAAATTAAAAATGTGGTTAACGTCTCGACTCGAGCCGGAAAACAGCTGTCGCGCGGCACGTGTTGCACCTTGCGCTCTCGATCCCCGATCGTTTCTTTCGCACTCTTTCCGCTCGGCCCGCTCCCTCCCCCTCCCCCTCCCCCTCCTCCCTCTCCCGCTCCTCTCCACCGTGTTTCGACGTGTTTCATCCGCAAATATACAAGCGCGAGTTTCAGGGAACGCGTCACTTGAGAAATTCGAGACTATTCGGGCGGCGCGTTTTACGCGCTTTACCGTCGTTTCACCTGCTCTATTTTGCCACACGAAGGTGCCGCCTTTGTGCCGCCCGTCTCGCTCGTTTATTCGCGCACACATTTAATCGAACGAGAACGGATGCGCCCTCGTAAATAACGTGAAACGTGACGGTACGACACGATACGATCGAGATATTCTGAATGCGCACTTTGGGGGCTTGGCTTTGAACGAAATGCAGGAAATGAGTCAGGTGACCGATAGTCAGGTGAAAAAAAAAAAAAAAAGGAAAAAAGGAAAAAGAAAAAAAGGGATTCGTTAATGTTATTCCGTCCGTTGGTCAGGTGTGTCGGTCGGTCGGCCGTTCCCGGTCGTCCCCGTCAAAGGGGAATCCGTGTGCGCGGTTACCGTTTCGAAAAAACGGTGCGCTTGTTTCCTGGGGGGAGGGAAGGAGGGAGGGAAAGAGGGAGGAGCGGAGAAATTCAAGAACGAAGGTCGAAACGAGCCGACCGAGGAGAGGCGCACGTGAAATTTTACTCCATCCCTCTGTCTCCGCGTGAGCGAAATCCGATATAGTTCGACTTTTCGCGAACAAATAGATAAAATAGAGGAAGAAGATCGAGAAAGATCGAAGCGTTGGGTTCTTACAGTTCTTAGTGGATTTTTACATTTCGGACCACCCTGTATATATCCCTTGCGCCTCATACACCTGTCCTCCAATTACACCCGCGTACGATACTAGAACTGTAAACACGCGTGGCCACGTACCGGGTGTGCCGATTCGAAAGCAACCGAGCCTCGAGTAAAGTAAACATGGTATTCGGAAAATGCGGGAAGGGAATTTTATGCGAACGATTCTTGCGATATCTATGCGAGAAAAAGAAGAAAAAGAAGAAGAAGAAGAAGAAGAAGAAGAAAAAGAAGAGGGAAGAGCTCGGGTATTAGCAATAACGGTATCGTTCGAGGATACGAAACGAAGCTGCAGACAGTCACCGATCGTTATTACGGTTTTCCAAGATTTCCGTTAAGCCGCGGGATTATCGAACTTTGTCAATCCTTGCGACAAATCGACTTCTCTCGCGGTGCAAAACGAGATTGCGCGTCGAAATGGTGGAACGGAAGGAAGAAGGAAGAAGGAGGGGGGGAAAAGAAAAAAAAGAAAAAAAGAGACGGCGTCCCCTTTCGAACTCGCGACGGGGTAACAACGATATATACCGGAAGTGTCGGTGGATGACTGTCTGGCCGGAAGCTATTATACTCGTGTCACGAACGGACTGCAACGGCGCGTGTCTCGCGCCGCTTGAATTTAAACCGTACCGTGGTGTAGAGTGCTCGTCCACGTTAAATGAAAATGTTTTTTTTTCTTTTTTTTTCTAACTTTGATCGTGGAACGTACGCGCGACGGGTCGCGCATCTTCCAATTAATTAATTTAATACAGCGTGTTAATCAGCGAGCAGATTTCCAACGAGCGAAATGAAACCGGTGGTAATTCATTGTCGTTCCCTGCCACACATTTTCTCACGATATTCCGCGATACTCGTTCTTTTTTTCCATCACGTAAAAACGCGGAAGAAGAACGATCGAAGGTAACGCGATCGGTAGTTGGAGAAAGAAAAAGAAAACAAAAAAAAGAGATATAAATATTTGGCCGAACAAACAAACAATTTCTGTTGAAAAAAAATTCCTTTATATTGAAGAAAGATTTCAATATCGTCGTTTTCTTTTTTTTTTTTTATCACTGATAAATATCAAAAAAGAAGATAACGAAATTTTTATGATATCTGATAATATACGATTTCGTTTCTACGCAAGATACATATATATATAAAATAATTATTGGAAAATAACGCAACACGAGGATTAAGTAATTATTTTAAAAAAATTATTAAAGCTATTTACCTGCACAATTTTCAGACCATGTGTCATCGACATCACTGTGAGACACGTATAAATTTTTCCTCGAAACCCTGAAATTGGAAACGCGATGATCTCGTCGAAAGGTCTCGAAGATACGAGTTCAATCGGTAAACGATCCCGTAGACCGAGTATCGAGAAACGTAGGCATAGATGCACGCTCGTTGAACCGCGAAACCGTTCTGAAGATGGACCGATCTAGGATCCGCGAACGATCAACAACCGGCTGCGTGCTATGCACTGTCGCGTGTAGCACGTACGTGCGACTGAAAATCTGGGACACCGCGACTCGCTTCGACTCGCGTCGACTGATAAAACACAGCGAGGCGAGTCGCCGCTACGAGCTCGATGCCACGACGCATGCCTGCGCGTCTATTATCACCAAACTTGTGATAAATCTGAATCAACCAGGCAGCCAAGATAACGCCATTTCGTTATGCTCGCGTTAACTCCACAAATAAATTATTTATTCGAATTCATTATTTTCTTTTTTTCTTTCTCTTCTTTTTTTTTTTTTTTTTCTTTGCCCCCATAATGACTATGCACGCTTTTGTTTCTTTTTGTTGGATGTATCGACCGTTGCGCAATAAGCCTTTAGAACGCTTATTAATTTGCTCGTGAACAAGTGTCGAATGTGGGACAACCTTCGTGTATACCGATGCACAATCGGAATGAATCGTATAGAATAAATAAAGCAAGCGTGCCGATGAATATCGTTTATGATATTGATGATACGGATGATAAAAATCATTTGTAAACAGAACTTCTCTCTCGACGAACAAAAGTGTGTAAAAGTGAGTTGAAGTTTGAGGCTTGCATCGGTATACAAGGAAAAAAAAAATTGGAAGATCGTTTCCTAGGATTCGTTATAATTGACGTTACATTGTTTACGTAACGTTTGAACGCAATAAAATCCATACGTTACCAACCGAGTGTTACGTAAAAAAAAAAAAAAAAAAAAAAAAATAAAAAAAATAAAAAAGGATAGCAAAGTTTCGATTGTGTGCACGTGTGCTCGGATATCAAGATGCGGATTAAATAAAAAAGATATAAAGTGAATAATAGTTAGACAATCGGCGAACGTATATAATCGAATCGATAAAGATTTAGACTACATCCAATTAGATAGATTTGATAAGATTAATTAAGATAATTGTCGAGCGTAGCCGATAGATTATCATCGGATAGGATGGCTAGACTTTGTCGCAGTCTCGAAGAAAAAAATGAAATTTATAGATCGGGTATATGCCGACCGATACATTATCTCACAATATCGTAATTAAATACATTTAATCGGTCGACAGTGGTAAAAACGTGAGAAAGTCTTTCGTGTCGCTTTTGTGTGAGGAAAGATGTTCGAAAGTCAACTAATTATGAAATTATGAAAGCCTATAACGACCGAACAGTTATCGAGCGTGTGAAGATTATATATCTATTTATATGTATATAGAGTATATATATGAGAGTATATATATATATATATATATATATATATAGAGTATATATATAAATATATATGTAGAATAACCGTCTGACGAAAGTGTCCATTAAAACAAATGGTCTTCCTTCGATTCCCTTTCTCGAGCATAACGTGCGTAATAAAACTCGCGTTTTTACACTCGTAAGATAACATTTTATTAAGATGAACGTTTCTTTTTTTTTCTTTTTTTTTTTTTTGCAAATTTCAATCGAACCAGGTTTTTTCATTAGATAAAGGGATTTTCTGACGCGACCATAAAATATATCTAATCGCTGATCGTTGCTCAACAACAAGGGACGAGAAGGAAAGTTTTCTTTCCCTTCCACCACCGACGCGTTGGCATTTCTCTCCGTGGTACGATTCTATTCTTCCAATCGTAAAAGAATCGAGCAGACCTTCCCACGAATGTTACACGGATTTTGTAATCGTCCCAATATATAATTAACGATAATTTAATTCAAGACGACACCTATCTTCCTGCGTTTTATCTCTTTATTCTTTTTTTTTTCCGCGTTTAAAGCGTGTAAATCGAAACGAAACAAAGAGAACCTTGTTATTTACGGTATTAAATGATTAATCGCGGGAACTGAGAATCTGAGCAAACGTTTGATCATATACGTGGAGAATATATTCGAAAACGACGCAATACTTTGTTACCTAATTCGACAAAAAAAATATGCTAACCGCGGCTAAAATCAAAACCATCTATTTCCAAGGAATTTGCACGTCAATCTCGAAAACTTCTTCTTCGCGGTCAGCAATTATGCGCAATACTAATTGGCGGTGAACGCGCCTCGAAAATTAAGGGGTTATCGAGAAGAAGAAGAAGATGAAGAAGAAGAAGAAGAAGAAGAAGAAGAAGAAGAAGAAGATGAAACAGGTATGGAAATGAATGGCTTGATCGTGCGCGAGATTCCTGTTTTCCGCTTTGTTCAACTACGACGTACCTATGTAATAAGTACACCGAGGTATCGGAAGAAAGGAATTACTTTGGAACTTCCTGCTTTCTTCCACGACATTTTTTGCAAATCGGCAAAATTGATCGGATAAATGAAAACTTTCGAAATTTTTTTTTTTTACTCGTTTTTGGATGCCGACCCCGTGTCCCGATTATTTGGTAAGTAAATTTTCTAATTTCCACGAAAACCTTGGAAAACTACTTCTAGACTTGAACGAGAATTTTCGATCATATCAGAGACTCTCGAGAAAGGAAGAAAAGAATATATATTTCTTATCGATGAGACGATCCTTCAAGGATGTACTCACCAAGAAATTTCACGCATTCTTTTAATCCATCCACTGCTGCCATGAATTTAATTATAAATGACTCGGCGTACGAAAACATTCCTCCCTCGTTTTCACAACGGGTGTTGCATAAACGTCCACTTCGCGTCGATGTAGTGATAACGAGTGACAACGGCGGATAATTCGATCCGAAAAATCTCTCACAGAAGATAGAGTCGCGATCGATGATCTGACCACCCTCCTTTCCAACCACCCTCGTTCGGCGGAGATCGGCGAAGATGGGGAGAAGCGGGGAGAAAAAGTGGAAAAAAAATCCTGGTTCAAGTACGATCCATCGTTCACGATCCATTTTCACGGGTGTAAGAGCACGAGAAGGATTGCGTAAGAGAAGAATCCGCGGCATCGACGAATCCCTCCCCTACCTTCCTGGGATCTTCTCTTTCTCCGTTCGTCCGGTGTGGGAGCCCCGGAAAAGAGGGGCTCTCAAGAACCCCCCCTTGTTCCTGCTCGATCTCTAAAGCCATATATATACCACCACCTCGTGGTGGCATCCTTCGTGAAAGAAACTTTGCCGGTAACACCGTGGAGGACCGAACCTCGCGGGCGGCGGAGGTCCAGCGGATCGGGGCCGTTCAGTGCATCGAAATCGACACCCGAGATATACCGAGATAAATGAACACCACGTGGAGGGATACTGCGGATTAAGGTGAACTTTCGATCTTTTTGCGCAAAATAAAGGTGAGTCCCCTTTCTTCCCTTGGAAACTCAAGCTTGGAAAAAAGATCCTTGGATCGTAGCGTCGATTCCAATATATCTTTCGATCGTCGTTTGCCTCGTACTATATAATGGATTCTATGTTGATTTCTAGATGATTTCGAGGTACCAAATTTTGTGCCTGCTCCTGTTGCTCGCCACGGTTTTACTGTATCGAGCGATGGCGGTGAGTAAAAAAAAAAAAAAAAAAAAAACACGAGCGGCTGAAAAATCTTCGAAATTCGACTTCGTTGTTTGCGCGACTTATAATACCACCACGAACGAATACAATACCATTACGAAAGTGGCGAGTTAAAATTGGCGAAAATTATTATTATATATATATTGTTGTACGTTCTCACGCGCAACAATGACAGAGGGAGGACGTTATTATCTTCTCGCCTCATCTCATCTCCAGCTGGTGGTGGCATTAAGTAATTCATTAATTAACTCGTCTTGCGCGAACATGCTTTCTCGCGTGCATTCCGCGCTTCCTCGGACAAAATCGTCCGACTCGGTTTAAAATTTCCGCGCGGGTTGCGCAATATTGCCAGCATTTGAGTCTTCGAGAATTGTGCGATTCCAGAATTACGAAACCTTCGTGATAGCTTGTATATTCGTTCGATACGATATTTTATTTAAATAATAAATAATTTATTTATTTTCTTTCCCTTTTTTTACTCGAACTCTTCCATCGTGGATGGACGAGCCGTTCGCGAGTACGTTCATTTTCACCGGAAACGATGGCCGTGAACGCCATCGCGGGGGAGGGGGGATCCAAATTTTCAATGCCGCACGCCGAGGCAGTGGCCAGAAAACTGAAAATCATTAATTAATCCGTCGATCGTATCGCGTTAACATTCACGGTACACGCTTCCACTGATAAATTTCTTAATCCTTCGAAGAATCCATCTCCTTCCATAGCCATTTCCTGGCATTTTCTTCGAACATCCATCTCTCCTCGCGGAGAGGAGAGGATTAATCTTTCGACGAATCCTATCCTTTTTTCGAATTCTTTGTAAGTTCTTACGCAAGTTTAATTCTTAATGAAACTTAAGAAGAAAGTTAAGAAGGTGAAAAAGTTTCGATGATCTTGCGAGCGAAATCCTGACCCACCCTAATTTCCAGCGCGGCGACTGCACAAGTGGATCGTTGCCGTACCCTCTTGCCAGGCGTCGAAATCACCCGTCACGTCGAGAGGGGTGGAGGCAATGTCTTGCGGTTGCGCGCGTGGTAGTGGACAGGAGATCGAATACAAAGGCACGGAGATGCGCATCCGCTTGCGGGGAACAATGTAACCCGACTTCCGGTCAGACGTAGGCACGTACACGCACTGGACTGGCTCGATCCGCCGTGCCGTTTCGTATGTCGCAACAGCCTCTTTTTTTCTCTCTCTTTCTCTCCTCTCATTTCGACCGATATAGCCGATTATTGCGAAAAAGATCGCACACCGAGATCTCCTTTCAATTCCGATTGCGATTTAAACGTTCTTTTAAAAGCTGCTCCGATCGTTTACCTCCGATCGTTCCCGTATCCTTTCGTGTTTTATCTACGCCGGATGAAACGAACGTTAAAATTCTCGACGATACAGAAGATGTGTTTAATAATTGATAATTGCGGTTGGAGAGGAAGTGCGACTTATAGCGTGCATCCTTCCTCGGTCCACATTCCATTGTGATAGATGACGAAAGTTGTAACCGATGTTTCGACAGAATCCCAAGGGAATTGCAATGTAAATAATACTTTCCAGTAGTTGCGCCTCTCAGATAATTTGTCTTTGTTCTAAGAGAAATCAACGGGTAATTTACACACAATTTTTTCGAATCGAAATGAGCGAATAACTCGATTGTTCTATATACGTTACAAATTGCACGTTTTCACCGAAAAATTATCACGTGTATATTCGTATAATAAACTCTAATTAAAGTGCATTTATTTTTACCGACGTTTCAGCAAGTAGACGGTTACACGCCTGGTGTGGACTATCCGATCTACGACTCGGTGCCTTTCGGTCTCACGTTTACCTGCGGAGGCAAGTTACCTGGTTATTACGCCGATCCCGAAGCTAGATGTCAGGTAAGTTTGCCCTACTAACTCTTACGCCGCCATTACACGACCACGATTATTTCGAATATTTTCGCCAGGTCTGGCATTGGTGCTTGCCAAATGGGCGCATGTTTAGCTTCCTTTGTCCAAACGGTACCGTTTTCAGCCAGTCAGCTCGCGTCTGTGATTGGTGGTTCAAGGTATTCATTTTTTTAACGTATATTTTAATCATTTTGATTCAGGAATTAAAAATCTTGCGTTTGTCGTAGGTTGATTGCAACGATTCGCCAAGATTGTACGGTATCAACGATGACCTGTACAGAGACGTGAACGGGAATAAGATCTAATAACTGTTATCTGTGAATATTTAAACGCGTGTCGACGAAAAGTATTTCCGTCTCTTCGACGAGACAGTATTTCAACGGAAGCAAGATACCAACGAGTTGCGAGTTTCTAGCTTGCCGACGGAGAAAAGCAGAGCGCTGTAATATTGTCAGACGTTAAATTACACGACGACGATCGAACGTTACAAAATGTTCGAACTTGTAGCTATATTTTCGAATAGAATCAGTTAAAATTTTTCCGAGAAATTAATCCAAATTGCTCTTAATCTCTTTATAACAAATTTGATTCCTCAATAAAGAACAACAGATGCATTAACCTTTTCTCTGCATTAAATACGATCGTGCTGATTGATCGTTCGATTCAATTGTAACCACGGTTTTTACCATAGAGGTGTGTAAGAGAAAAAGAGAAGAAAAATCAACGATCGCGCAAAAATCGAAATCTCATCGAACTATTTCTTGGCATGATTGAACAATAGAAAGTGAATGGTCGTCACAAACGACCGATTCGTTGTCTACGTTTTTTCCTGTCAAACGTTGTCTTCCTTCGCTACACTTTTCCATCCATACGTTTTGCATGCACGTCTCGTTCACGAATATTCCTTTTTTTCCTGCGTAAACGGGAAAAACGCCAAAATGAAAATGATCGCGATTCCAATTTCGTTCAAAATCCTACGAAAGAATCTTCTTTTCTTTCTTCACCCGGTGAAATTAAAATAATTACGTTCGATTCTATTCGAAAGAATTTCAATCGATATCTAAATGAGTTGCGTAAACGAATAGAAATTTGTCCACTTACGAAACTCTTCCGTTCGTCGAACATACGTCAAGGCCAAAGTCATCGCCACGACACGAATCAACGATCAGAGAACACACAGCATCGTCGCTCCTTCGTTTCGTGTAACGTAAACAAGATCACGAAACTGTCCAACGTTCGGACGAACGCGTGCAGCGTCCAGCATCGAAACGATGGCACGGAATTACGAAAAATATTCGTTCAACTTTTCCAAGCGGCGAACCCGCGGCGCGTTAATATTCCTGATGAGTAAAAAGCACGCATCGAGACGTTCCTCTTTGAGCGAATCGCGAACGTAAATGCCACGGGCGTACGACTTGTCCTGAAATTCTTGACAATCCCCTTTCAAAGATCAACAGGCGTGTCACGCTGTGCGCAAATCTTCGCAACAGCGGGAATAAAGTGTGATCAGGATTTATCGTAGATTGTGCGGCTCGTTACTCTACGTTCGACGAGTGATTCGAACACGGGGGGAATGGGAGCAACCCTAATCTTGTTTCCAGGAAGAGAAGGCGAGGAACTGGATATCGGGATCCTTGGAATCTCGAAAAAGAAAGAACTCGTTGTCCTTAGAGGAAACGGCAAACTTTTGAAGAAACGATCGATCTCACGACGAGATATGAATAGAACTCGGCGTATATTAAGTAAGAGATAAATCTCAACAAGAGATGATTACTTTTCGAGCGACGTAAAGAGAGAGGATTTTTTCGAATAAATTTAAAAAAATGGCATGCACGTACGCGAGTCGATTTCATTCAAAGTTAGAAGGGAGTTGTTCGAAGAACGTGGAAGCAGGTTAGAATATACTTTCTTCGGATAGCTCTATTATTCGCTCGGCGACCCTGAACGTAATTTATTGAAAAAGCTAGAAGAATCGATCGCTTTTTCGCGTTTGACAATTGTTCGATTACGAAAGGATCGAAGTAGCGCAAACGTCGAACGGGAAATCGAACTTCCTATTTCCAAACAATGCTGCGCGCGATCTTTGTCGATCGATCGATCGATCGATCGCTAGATCGAATCCTCGAGGATGCGACGATTTTACTCCCGGGGACGTTACACGATTTCACTTTCACTCGATTTCTTCCCTCGATCTTTCGAAAAATCGAAATAATTCGCTGGATAGGCTCGGTTATTCGGAGTTGAAAAAAAATAAGGATAAGAATGCACGTGTCAGAATCTCCTGAAGGCGACTCAAGACCTTTCGGCTCGACCTACGTCCACCTACGTTTGTTCGGATTGGATCTCGAAACGAGGATTGGATCGAGGATGAAAAATACGGGCGGTGGTAAAAGTGAGGCTGACGATAAGACAGAAAAATCTCGTAGAAATGGATGGCCTTCTAACGCGACGTTTAAGAGTCAAGTTTGAAAGGTTGGAGAACGTTGGAGTTGCATTGGCTGTCAGGTGGCGACGCAGGTGCTCCTCGCCAACCTTTCGCTCTTTCGGTGGGGAACCTTTTTTCGACGGGAGCTACGCCAATGCGAGAGCAGGGAAGGCGCCTATGTCCGTCCAAGCCCCCCCACCTCGGCATTATCCTCCTGGTCGTAGAAAGCTCGACCAGACGACGCTGGCCGGAGCACAACGCTCCTGCCGCTGGCTTTTCCACTTCCATCGCGCAGTCTTCTGGCCGGACCGGACGCGGTCTTGCCCTCAACCTCAACGAAACCGAAAACGCGCTCTTTCGAATTTTCTTCTCGATTACGAAAATTCGTAAATCCATCCATCGATCCATCCCTCGCTCGTCGCCTCGTGCTTTCTCAAGATCGTTCGCTGGCAGAGAAGTAGAGCCGCGCGGTGTATAAGGTGTGACAAGTATATACAGTTGGAGTGCGCCTCGATGTGAAGACCGTGCTTTCATGAGGGATTAACGAAAAACTATCAACGGAGCCGAGAGACAGGTTTGTGTATTTTCTTTTCCTTTCTTTTTCTCGAAACGGGCGAATATGATTCTTAAACCGTGGAATGAAAAAATCCGCGAAAGTTTCGAGAGATCGTTCATCGTCGAAGATGATTTGAAAAAAAAAAAAAAGGGAAAAAAAAAAGAAGAAGTGGAAACGAGGTTAAACGAAGATTCAAGCTTCGATTATCCTCCTTCGTTGTTACGATACGAGAGTTTACGAGATTGAACGTGGCGAAAGTAGTGGCAAATTTCCTTCGCTATTTATATACCCGCGAACGTTGCCTCCTTTTCCTGCCATCGAATCCGGACGAGACGAGACGAGACAAATGAAATTTGAAATTACTTAAGCGGCGATAATCACAGTGTTTTATTCAAGCGACAGAGGTGGTCGGCTTCTGCCCGCGGCCAGAATGTCAGCATTTTCTTGCGACAATCCCTCCACGTGAGCGGATTCGAGCCGTACCTCGCGGCTAGTGAAACCGCTCCAACCGACTCATTCCGCCCGATATAGTCGAAAAAGAAAAAAACAAAGAAAAAGAGATTTCAACTCTAACGCAATGCTCTGGTATTTAAACGTATTATTTTCGTAAGAGGAGAAAACAGCGCGCTTCGAAATGCTCTCTTCTCGTGATCGATCCCGTGATGGAATTCGAACGACGCACCGCGTGAAAAGAAGACAAATAAACGCATTCAAATCGTGAAAGGACGATCGTATCGCTGAATCGATAGTTTCATCGGGGCAAGATAAAGACGGCAAAACTTTCGCCGGCCATCGTCGCATCCTCTCCTCTTTTTTTTTTTTTCTTCACACCTTCGGATGTGACAACGAAAGCGAACTGGTTCTATCTCTTCCAATTTACCGTCCACTTTCCATTTCTTTTTTTTTCTTTTTTCTTTTTTTTTTTTCTTTTCTTCCTTCGAGGGAAAAAGTACGCCTACGCTTGCCATCTCCATCGAGGTTGTCTAAATAAGGTGAAAGGAAAAAGAAAGAAAGAAAAAAATATATATGTATATATATATATATCGCGATATATTTGCAATACGTTACGCGAGTTTGGTCGTATTTTAACGTATGTTTATGATCTCAGCGCGTAATCGGAACGCGGAAAATCGAATTTCCATTTTCGCTCATCGTAGATCGAAGTTAACGAGTGGAATTTCGTTTCAGGAAATACGCACGCACTCGAGAGACGCACGTGTCGAGAGTAATAAGCCCGCACGCGAATCGGCGCCACGCGTCGAGAAAAAATACGCCACGATTGAAATGCGTATTCTTTATATATCGATACGAGTGATTGATCTCGCGCGAATAAAATACATTTTCACGTTGTCTCGTTTCCACGATGGAGAGAAGGATAATCGAGTTTCCATTCGAGATTGCCGCGAGATTCTGAACGCCGTGACTCTAGCGATATTTCGAATCGTATCGCGAAATGTGTATATATACTATACTTGCAACGTTTATGCCAGCAAGTGTAACGTTTCCTCTGACGAGTTACGACGCCGCTTACGACACCGCGTCGGTAAAGAAAACGAGGATAATTTTGATATAATCGAACGGCTCGTATGCTAATTAATTTCAAGTTACCGATTTCTTATTATCCGATCCAATGAACGAAACTCTCCTCGTGAACGGCGGTATCGGCTGTCGATTAATCTCGCGGTTTTCCGTAACCTCGACAGTGCCTCCACTCTCTCCCTCTCTTTCGGCGTCTCCCCTTTCGTTCTCTCCTTCCTCCTTGTTGCATTCTAACGTCGTCGTCCACGTTCACTTTCGATCACCATCGGATTCCGTGCCCGATTCTAAACACACGCGAACCTATTTTGCTCGAGCAACGCTTAAACCAGCTAAACGCTAGACCTAGACGCCCTAATTACTCGCATCATACCCGCCGAATACCCTCTCCAATTCCATACAATCTCGAAGGATATTAAACACTCCGGAAACGCTTTTTGCTCGCTCGTTATCCTCGATCGAATTACTTAATCGAGCGTCAAATGGAATCAATTATTGTTTCGCTACTGGAAGAGAAACTATTGGTTAAAAAGAAAAAAAGAAAAAAAGGAACGGAGAGACGTGAAAGCCTCGCGACAACTCGGAATCACGAGCTCGAGGAAAGTCGAGCTCGAAAAAAATGAAACGTTTCTTTTCTTCTTCCCTTTAAAAATAAGAAATAACCTCTCTTCTCCCTAACCTATAATTACAATTCCTGGAATCACAGCACAAAGGTGATCGCGCATAAAGCAATGCAACAACTATCGCTACGCTTTACGTAATCCACGTGCCACGCTTTCGCGGCACGTTTTGACACGTTTCGACCGATACTTTGCCAGATGTTTTACAATAAACAATATCGGGAGCGCGAGCTCTCGAACTAGCCACGTTACGACACGAGAACAAGCGTCGTCCGGCCGCAGTCTGCTTTCTCCCGCTATACGCCGTCGGAAAAATAAACGAGCTGGTTGCTCGTAATCGAACGGTTGGAATAGACGCTTAATCGTTTCGATCGCCAATTCGTCCAATTTTTCGCGCACACTCTGAACCATATAAATAGAAACGAACGCGACGCTACTGCCCTCTCCTCGGTGATGGGCAAAATTTAATAGTCGAAGTTACGAATAAACTTACTTGGATAAGTTTATTACCGTTCGAAACGTAATAATAATTTAAAATTAACGGGAAATAGATATAATAAGCACGAATAAATGTCATTGAAGCGTTTCAACAAGCGATCGGTCAATTTTATTCGAAATTTTTAATCAGTTTTTTTACGGGTTAACGGCCAACTCTGCCTCTCCCCCCCCCCTCGCCATGCATCCCATCTTAGTTTTCGAATGATCAACGGATAATTTTCAAGGGCCTTGCGTTATATTTGCGGTCGCTCGAGGTCGTACGTCGACCATATCGCGCCACTACTCCTTTCTCGAACAGTTTTCTCGTAAATGAATATCATCGGTACAGTTAACGAACCATCACTATCCAATAACGCTACATTAGAATTTATTGATTTTTCTACCGTACAAGACGAGTGGGTTTCGAGTTCGAAATTATTTTTCTTCGAAACAATGACGACGGACGGCGTTAGATGTAGATAGTCTCTTGCTTATTTTTCTTTTTTTTCTGTTTTTTTTTTTCAAGATTGAACAACCGATAAATTTAAATCTCGTCCCGATGTCAAGAAATAATCGTACATTCGGGAGGGAAAAATTAAGCGAGAAGAAACGAATAAAATATATAAATTCGGCGTGATAAATTATTTATCGAGAATACATACAGGAAATACAGGTTCCTTTTAATCGCTATTCCTCGCCTTAGGATAAAGCGAAATTTGACCATCGCCGCTTTCGAAACGAAATAAAGTGTGTCAGAGCTGTTCTACGCGAGGCACGCGTGAATATTGCGCGATGTCTACTTTCGATGATGCGATCTGCACCGATGAATCGAATTTCAGACGATTCCGTTCCATGTTCAAATGAACGATACTTGAACAGAGAACAAACATCGGTGGCGAAAGACCGAGGCGAGAGATCCGAGTCGGCAAGTGAGATCGTGAAATTCAAATGAAAGCAAGCAGAGACAATTTTAGAAAACGAACCAATGCTCGAACGAAGAAAATCATGCTTCGAAAACTACACGCTTCTTGCCTTCTTCTGTAATCCCGATTTCGGATTCACCACCATCATAGAATACTATAGTAAACTGTAATTTACACGAGTAGGAACGGTAGGAAGCAATCGTAAAAAAAAAAAAAATATCTCTCGTACGATTCTGGATCGGTCTCGTTATTACCACCTCTCGGCATATAATTATATTCCTTGCGGCAATATGGCTTCACGACACATTAATTGCGCTAATTATACACGAAAATCTCTTCCTCTCTTTCTCTTTCTCTCAAGAAACAGATTTGTGGAAGAAGGAAGATACAATTTCCGATTCCGACAACGTTTCCTTCTCACCGATCACTTTCTTGCCGTTTCGAAGAAATTATCGTCGATCCCAGTTACAAAATTTTCCCTGAAACGATGGTGAAATTAGATTCTGGATCGTCCAACGAGCACCGATTAAGCGGTTGAACGTAAACGGAAAGAACATACGTCTTTATGCCGGCTATTCTTCTGTTCTTAATTTTGGGCTAACCTCCTACTCGTTTCCTCTTACGCCGTTTCCTGTCGAAAAAAGAATTCAAAGAAGCACCTTCTCTTTTGTTTTATCGTTGCCGTAAGCTTACACAATGCGCCGATAAAAATGTTGATTGACACCAGTTTTTACAGTCGAATAAATTTTATTCATCATGGTGGAGCGTGAAACTATTTATATCCGAAGCCGGTTCTCTCCTCTCGAGAATCCGCAAAAATTTTCGAGTTTATCGATTCAAACACTCTCCCCATCCTCGATCGCTCAGGTTGAACGAACTCGACGTAGCGAGGAAACTCGCGGATTTAGAATTATTCAAGAGGCACGTTCGATGAATGAGAGATTACGTAAGTCGATCATTTTCACCAAACGCCATCTTTCGAGTCCTGTATTTACGTATAGAGGAGGGCAGAAGAAGGGGACAGGAGGGGGGAGGGGGCAGACATCGCGCGACAGATTGTCGCGATTGTGACACGACGAGCGAATTATCGAAGGATCGTAATTATCGAGGTTATCCGTCGACGGTTTCAAAATTTCAATCAAACGGCTTCTCATTGTTTGCTCGATTCGACGATTACTTTCCGCGCGTTAAAAGTTTCGCGTGCTGTCAGCTTTTGTCAACATTACTAGCACGCGACCAATCCGAGATAATTCTGACACCTTGACACGAAAAACCAGTCGGCATTAAGTCGCACCTTCGCGTTTTCATGCGTTCGAATAGGACACGCCTTAGGATAGAACCTATTTCCCAAGTTTTCAAGGTCTATTAACTGAAAGAAGAGCGAGAGATTTACACGGATGGTGAATCCGCTGTAAAATATCCCACTTTTGCCTCGATTGCGACAGCTGTTCGAATAAAGGCGATACAGTGCACGCAGTTCCATATCGCACGGCGAGCAAACACGCTATTGGCGCGCGCCGCCACTTTCTATACATACACGAAGTGGCGATCCTTCTCTCTAAAACGACACGGGAAGGATGAACGATGCGAAGGAAACCCGCATTCGCGGTCTGTCTCATTATCCACCAGGAATAATCATAATCGCGTCGCGATTTTAATTGAAAGTGGCAAAGAGGAGTGTGCATTTGATAGTGCAACCGCAATCGTCTCGATTTGCCACGCGTAATTACGTTCTACCTATATATCCCATCCTGCGACGAGTGTTTAACGATCGAGAAGAAGACGGGTTTGCGTTGAATACGCAGTGGCGCTCATTCCGTATCCATCGATCGTAGTAGTAGTATAGTAGTAATAACAGCATTCGACGGGTAAATATCGCGCCACCTTTCTTTCTCAGGATCGAGCGTTATGCCTTGACCTCGCCCGTTTCGTTGCGTCAGACGAGGCGAGCGACGCCGATAAGCCGGCCAACGATCGACCAATGAGAAATACGAATCCGCGAAGAGGTAAACACGCATCATAGAAAAAAAAACGATCGAGACAAGGATGGAATCTATTCGAAGTTTGGCTAGCTGTGGTCGGGGCTTTTTTCGCTCGACGATTCGAAGTTTTATTCGACGAATTTTCGGTCGAGGGAGAGACACGATCGAAATGAAGAGAACGTTCTCACGTTCCATTTTTAAGCGTGATTATTGTTATTACGATTGAGCACCGGCGAGCATCCACTCGGGAAAGAAGTTGGGAAAGAAGAGGGGAAAAAATGTGCGGAAACTCGTCGCACGATCGAAGCGACGAGTACGCAGCTTCTTCGCAACACGATTCACTCGATAACGTATGTATTTATTCGACAGATAGGCATGAAGGAACAGCAAGCACGAGGAAATGAAAGCTTGCTGCCAACTCGTACGGGTTTTGAAGGCTATCGGGTTTTCTAACCACGCCTTCTGCGAACTGTTTAATCTTAAAAAAAAAAAAAAAAAAAAACAGAAATGTCTCGAGAGAAGCAACAAGCGTTACGCATTGTATATATAAGTTTTTCTCTGACCCGATTCCAATTATTCCATATCCCTCCTCTCCCTTGAAAAAAAGCGTATAATTTTCTCTCCAAATCCAACGAAAAGAAGGAAAAGTTGTTTTAAAAGCTTCAAGGAGGAGAAGATTTATCTCGTCTCGTCTCGTTGAGGGGGGAGAAAAAAAAGAAACGGTTAAAAGATTTACCAATTGTTTCGAGAAATCGAATTGATCGGACAACTAGTGGTGCTAGCTAACCATTTACTTCCGGTGACCTTTAGCGGTCGCGGGTTGACCGTTACGTGTGTCGTAACATAACGTAATTTACCGTAAGGTAACGTTACGAGTGTCGCGTCGTTGAACGCGCGACTCGATAAAAGAGGAATCTCTACCGTAGGAGGAGAAGTATTTGCAGTAGTCGTCGAAAAATGTAGTCGCCTCGCGTAAAATAATAATTTACTCGGAGGATTGGAAGAAGAGAGGATTGATCGAGCTATAGCACCGAGAATAGAGAATAGAGTATTAACGGCAATTTCTAAAATGGCGAAGGAAACGAGCGCGTTAAACGCGATCGCGTAATCGTGACTTCTTCTTCCGAATGAAACGACTAAAATTTCCCAGCACTCCTGGGAACTCGCGTATATTCGTCGTCGTGACACGTAGTAAAGAAAGCAATCGCGAGACTTGTGTAATCGAACAAACGCGCTATTCCATGCTTCCATTTTGCGGAAAGAGGCAGAGAGCAGGTATATACCTCTCTCCTTTTTCCACCACACTTTTACACAAACGATAACGATCCGTCTGCGAACTGGAGCGCTTAATTAATGCGAAAATATCCCGCGATTGGTCTACATTTTTCTTTTCTTTTTTTTTCTTTTCTTTACACCGAAACTGATAAATCCATATCGGTCGAGTTCGTTGATACAAGCATTTTTTTTTTTTTCCTTCAAAGACGATAAACCAAAGAATAATCAATTGTTGAATAATCAAAACGCAATCTTATCGACGGATTGCTTTCACCGATTTCCGTCGAATTCGTTCTTCGACGAATATCGAAACGATGTACAATTTCTTACAAATATCTATCGTTGATTTGAGGTTAGGTTGACGGTTTCATCACGGTGGATTTATCAGTGGAGCAATGGAGGATATTGGACGGAGGGAAAATTCTCTTTGTTTTATAATTATTATTAAAAGTAGCGTGCATAACAGTGACGACAAAGTCACACCCGGTATTACGTGATCGTGCATTTATATAACACCTACATTATCCTTGCATTATATGGTTAGCAGTGGTGACAGCACAGAGAAAGTTCCCTAACCGTTCCCATATGCTCAAGCGCCTGTACCGGTCTACGTTCCAACGCGGAGCTATTGCCTCGATTATGCTACGTACAACTTAATATCGAGCCTCTACGACACGTTCTCGTCAATTTTTAATCCCTCTTATGAGTGGAAATTCCGCGCCGCGCACGAAAAACTTTCCGAGATTCACGAGAATAGGATTAAACGGAGACATTCTTCTTGTATGTTACAGTAGCGCCAACATGCGGGAGAAAAGGTGGCTTCTGCTCGCTCTGTACGGTAAGTACACAAGCACGGTATAGTAGTAAGCACGTTACAAAATCGAGCGAGAAACTCGATCGATTGGAAAAAAAAAAAAAAATTCTAACTCTCCTCGCCTCTTAACTGCGAATTAATTTTCGCACGGATTAATTTGTGCGAAAGAAGTAAAAGCTTCGCATTCGTTGCGCCGGGGACAAAAGTGTCCTTGGTATTTTTGGACTCTCCATATCCGGAGAGGAATGCCGAAGACAGCGGTCGACCTTCCATCCGAGAGTTTCGCGTCGATGTCGTTCAAGGTTCGTTCACACCGTTTTATCTCGTTCTCTCGTGGCGAATCGATTTTTTTTTCTTTTTTTTTTTTTTTTTCTTTTTCTTTCACGATCGAATCGGTGTGAACGTATACGGTACGTATGGAAAAACACCACGTTTCGTATTCATAACGGCAAATCAGATACGCGTGACGCGCGAAAGAGCTTGACCGAAAGATTCCACGAAGGTACTGGATACCGGTGTGCATATCAACAAGCCCGTTTCCTTTGTCCTGTTGCGACGTGCGACGGTAGCTCCAAAATTCTCCACATCTCGCAGAGAGAAAGAGAGAGGAGAGACTCGCATTCGAGCATTTCGGGCTTGCCAAGAATTTTGCTTCGACGAAAGATAAGATTGTTTGGAAAGAATATAGCGAGTCGAGTCGAGCAACACCGAACGAATGTGGGTTTCTGACATTTTCACCCGTTCGACGACTATTCGTTTCTCGCGTCGAGAGACAGTCCTTCGAGGCCTTCGAAAACTTGTTTGAAAGCTACCGAACGATACGGTACCTTGCACTCTTGTCCCAATACCACGGGGGATCGGAAAAAAAAGAAAGAAAGAAAATCTTCGATCGTTTGGTATATATTTTTCGTCGCGCCCCCCCTTTTTTTTTTCTTCTTCTTTTTAACTGAGAATGTCGAGCCATTCCCAATCGCGAGCAATCGAACGAAGCAATCGATTCGTCACGAAAACAGGGGGGGAAGGCTGGGTTGTGACCAGGTTGGAACCGTTTCCCACAAACGGAATGCGAGCACTCTCGTTCCCATAAAATCATTTTTATGCAACCAGTGCTCGGTTGCATCGATCCCCTCCCCTTCCTCCTGATTGGAAAACCACGATATCCCGTTATAAACGCGTTATACGTTTTCCATCGTCGAGGACATCCACTTCCCCTCCTAGAGAAGGATCGTAAAGATACCCCCCACACCGAAATCATCCTGATAACTTTTCCTCCCTGAAAGAAGGGGAAGAATTGGAGAAGAAAGTATTTTTTCCTTTTTTTTTCTTCGTTCGACGACGAGTTACACGAGACATATTCGTCCGATTCGAGAGGTTTTCTCGTCCATCCACCGACCTTGAACCGGTTTGATTTAATTAGAGGTTGCTCGTCGTGTAAAGATCCGCCGATAATTCAAGTTCATTAACGAGATGCCGTTACGGGTGAAGGAGGGAGGGGAGGAAGAAAAAGAAAAAGGGAAAAGAGACGGCAAGATGGATGGTATATTGAACGTATCGCGTTCCCAGTGAAATAATAAACGCGATCCGGTTAACGATCTCTCAGCAAAATCAACGACGATAATAATTCTTGTGCACAGGAAAACGATCGATGGACAGCCTTGATCCGCTTGAAAACAATTGCCCAACCAAACGCGTTCACCTGTACCGCGACACGAAATTGCAACACAAACTAGGACCGAGCTCCTCTCCCGCTGCTCTTCTCATGCGCGGGTTTTGCAACGCCGACGCTTCTTCTTCTTCTTCTTCTTCTCCTCCTCTCGGCTTGCGCAACGCCCGTGCGGATGCGTACCTTTGATTATTTACCATCCAACCTGTGCCTCCACAACTCTCGACTCGAACTTTTCCACTTTTCGTTTCCATCTTCGATCCATTCCACTTTTCGTCCATCCATTTTCGATCGTTCGATTATTGATGTCCAAGCTTCGAAAAAGAAAAGATGGACAGGTTTCATTTCCGTCCAACAATTTCCAGCAATCCTGTTGGCCAATGCGATTTCGGCCGAACGTAAGGCTACCAGGCCGAAATTCAAGATCGCCACTACGTCGACGACCACAACAACAACCACCACCGAAGAGAACCAGAGGAACGAGAACGAAGATGCGGAGGTACGTTTCGCTCAATAATTGATCTTCGAGATCGCCTCGATTCGGGGGATGATGCAACTTGATCAGCCAGCTTGCATCCAATACAAACATAGGATTGGTATACAATATTTCCCTCTTCCTTCTCAGCTTAAGCTTTTTAGATATCGTATCGAAATTAATCAACCTCCATCCATCTTATACACGCTACGCGCATATAACAAGTTTACCTTCGCATAGAAGCTATAGAAACATCGTGACATCATCGAACGAAGCTAGCTCATCTCGACCTATTACCCGGGATGGTAATGGTAAACTTGGCTTGGAATCCAAACGAATTGATTCTTTTCTACTCTTTTCTTTCTTTTTTTTTTTTTTGTTCTTCTCTATTCGATTCTTCTCGATCGCACAGGCGACCACCGCGGTGGCTAGCGGGGAGACGAACGCGACCAGCGGCCACGTCCTCACAGGCATCCCGCAGATCGACTACATCTGGGACCCGAATTTGCCCCGCGAGTTGAACGGCTACAATCTCAGCGATTACCCGTTCTACAACAGCATACCGGAGGACATCGACTTCAAATGCGACGGCCTCCACGATGGATTTTACGCGAGCGTGCCGCACAAATGCCAGGTGAGAAGAAGAAATATGTATTCGTAATTATTCCACCGGTTGACGAACGTATCGATTGCTTAGTTATTCTATGAAAATTGGTAGACTTTCTCTTTCTTTAAATAACGCATCGAAGGATACCGTCCGCTTAAAGATGCCTTTAATGTTTCCAAGAGAGACGCTCGCGCTCTTTTTCTATATGTATACATATATATGTATATACATATATACGTTTTGCATTCACGACAGTCGGTCCGCATAATTAAGCAAAAATTTATTCCTGCTCGTGTCTCTTCGTTTCGAGAGACCTTCGAGCGAAATAAATGAAAAAAAGAAAAAAAAATCCGAAGAGATCGAAAAGTTAAGAAAACGAGGAAAGGAGAGGAGAAGAAGAAACTACGAGTTTAAGGACGAATCCGTGTGGGATACACGGTGATCACGACTCGAACCTTTTTTAGAATCGATCTAATAAGGCCCAGTTTCTCGAGGTAATTCAGTCCACCGCCATTCTCTCGCCGATTTCGTGAGCGCGTAAACAAACAAATAAATAAGCCCGCTCTTTTTTCCGTCACAAAGGTAGAAACGATCGCGAAACACGAGAGAGTAAAAGCGGGTATTCAGCGTGATCTGGTGAAAAGGAAAGTCAGTGTCATCTGGACGAGTGGAAAGATTTTCTTATCGTATCGAGCGATCGACCATCCGTTAAACGCTCTCCATCTTCGACGGGTGGAGATGCAAATTTTCTTTCGATTCGATTTGTCGAAGTGGAGGAAAAAGGGGAAAGGGAGACGAGAGGAGGGAAAGAAAAGAACTCGAGAGTTTTTCGCGGTCCGATACGCTTCCCGTCCCTGACCGTTCCAAGATTCACGGATCCTGGGATTATTGTGAAAGCGATTGCAAAGTATCCCTTTCCGACGTTTTCTTATCGATTGTTTCAGCCACCGAACGAATGGGCCATTGTTATGCAAATCTCGAATCTGCGGATTCGCCTCGCTCGGCCCCGGTGTGGAGCAACGATCCGCCCGTAGCCGGATAACCAACCGTAAGAAAATGACGTGGCGAAGGAGTGAAAATTTATCGCGGGAAAAAAAAAAGAAAAAAAGAACTTGGAAAGATCGGAATCTCGAGCGGAAACGTTTCGCGAATACGAAAACGCGGGTTCTCGCTTCATCGAGCTCCAAGTAATTCCGTTTCTTTTCACGATTCAGCTGAAAACTCGTGACCAAGCAACGAGTACGTTTGACATTTACCTTTAGCAAAGTTGAGCAATAGGATCCCGAGATCCATCGAGAATCCTCCGTCGGTTCGAAAGAGGGACACGATTTTTCCAACGACCTATTCGCGAATTGTTTTCGTGTAGGCTTCCTGCAATTTAGAACAGGGGACTTTCCAATAAAATTATCAAAGCGTGGTGAAACTTGGGACACGAAATGGATAAAGATTAAAAGGATTAAAAATTAAAGGCTCGCGTGGGAAGGGACGAGCTAAGGATCGTCCCTTTCTTTCGAGATCGTTCGGAAGGGAAAAGAAAAATGATTTCCAGAAACGAAATCGTGCGAGCGAGGACGTGCTCAGAATAATTCTAGACGGATTCCTGCGGATAATCCGAGCAGAACATACGTGCCCCAGACAATCGTGGATACTTTTAGAGGAGAAATGTGTAATCCACGTTCGCGTGATCTCCTACCAATTACTCGTGAAAGCTGGCTCGGGCTAGCCGAGTGGAGAAAAGTATGCCAAAACGCGTTATTTATTTACTCAAATTCGTCCCCTAGAAATTTACCGAATGAATCTAAATTCTATTCCTTCTTCCATCCCAAGGTGTATCACCACTGCCTTTTCGGTACCCGATACGACTTCCTCTGCGCCAACTTCACGGCTTTCGACCAAAAGACCTTCATCTGCCACTTCGTGTCCGAGGTGGATTGCGCCAATTCGAGGAAGTACTGGCACAGGAACGACGCCCTCTACAAAGCGACCACGACTTCCACAACGTCCACGACCTCGACGACCACAACCACCACGAGCACAACCGCGTTTCCGCCGGTCACAGCCGCGATTGGCGGCCGCCAATCGTCCAGAGACCTTCCCAGGAGGAGGAGACCGTTCAGGAGGCGGCCGCCCGTGTACGATTACTACGACGAGGAGTACTACGACGACGATTACACCCGGCCACGAGGTGGGTACGGCAGGGACGAGTACGATTACGACGATCGAAAGTACAGGACGAGGGATCGCGAGTACGTGAGGGATCGCGAGTTTCGAGACTCGCCTAGGTCCAGGGAGGGGGGCGCCCCCAGGGACGAGAGGGACCGATACCCGGCCAGGAACAACAGGAGGGAGCCTGGGAGGAGAGATCCTCCTCCTTTGGAGGAGGATTCGAGGGTAAGGTCGAGGGATCCCGACCAGGGATCGAGGTCGTCCCTGTCTAGGGAGGTCGAGGACGCGGAGTTGGACGAGAGACGAGTCGATTCCAGGCTAAGGGACGATGATCGTCGCTATCCCGATAAAAGGTAACGTTCTTTCTTTGTTGTTGTTTTTGCTCGATCGAGAAATTCGATGACGTGAATTTTGTTTCTACAGGTATAGAGACGATTACGAGGACAAGGATCCCGTCTCGGCGGGGGGAGGGGGAGGCTCGGACGGGTTGGTGAAACCCGCCGCACCCGCAACCTCGCTCTACGCGAGACCGAGAACGCCGCCCAAGATTCGTAGACCGGTCCCCCTCTCCGAGCAGGATAAATACGCTTACAAAACCACGGCCGTGCAATCGACCGGTAGCTTTTCCATCTTTTCGATGTTTGTTAACCCTTTGCGCTCCGAAAGGCCTGCCGAATTACTCGTAAGATAAGATTACGCCTCGTAAGATTATACGTAAAGAGCTTAGGAAGCTATTTATGAAGCGATATTCTAAGAAAATCAAATATAAATAAATATTGTCGCCGCAACAATCCCAAAAATTTTGGTTCTGCTGGAGTTGCGGCATTAAATCAAGTGGTGAGTTGGAGAGGAAAAGCCTTTCATGCGATAACTCGAGAGTGGTGATTCTAAGATCATTTGGATCGATGCGAACGGCGATGATATTCGTTTACGTTTGATTTTTTTAAAATATCGCTTCATTCAATAGATTCCTAAGCTCTTTATGATCTTATAGAGCGTGGAATGATGTACTATCGAATGGTTTTTTTATCTCTAAATTGGATCGTGATGGCGGATCGAAGTTATTTTAGACGTTAGAGTTCGCGTTCGACAGTCGTGGGAATAGAAATATTATTTTCAAGGTTGTGTTGAGTTTTAAGTTATTTTGGAATACAGTAATGAAATTAGACGAGTTTGGTTTTTATTAAGAAATTGGAAATAGAGATGTAATAAGGAAAGGTGAAAAATAAGGATAATAGATAATGAATGTGAGAACGCGTTATTGGGATATTAGTTCAAGATAAATTTTTTATTAATTAAGAAATTGACAGAGAGAAAAAATTTTTTATTAATTAAGAAATTGACAGAGAGAAAATTGATAGAGAGAAGGAAAATAGCGATGAAGACGAGTTTGATTTTCTCGTTTTATTAGATAAATTATTTCTGTTCATTAAGAAATTGGAAATAGAGATGTAGTAAGGGAAGGTGAAAAATAAGGATAATAGATAATGAATGTGAGAACGCGTTATTGGGATATTAGTTCAAGATAGATTTTTTGTTATTAATTAAGAAATTGACGATAGAGAGAAGGAAAATAGCGATGAAAGTAGAGATGTAGTATAAAAAGATGAAAAATAAGAATAATAGATAATGAATGTGAGAACACATTATTGGGATATTAGTTCAAGATAAATTTTTTATTAATTAAGAAATTGACGATAGAAAGAAGGAAAATAGCGATGAAGACGAGTTTGATTTTCTCGTTTTATTAAATAAATTATTTCTGTTCATTAAGAAACTGGAAATAGAGATGTAGTAAGGTGAAAAATAAGGATAATAGATAATGAATGTGAGAACCCGTTATTGGGATATTAGTTCAAGATAAATTTTTTGTTATTAATTAAGATAATTTAATTAAGAAATTGACGATAGAGAGAAAATAGCGATGAAAGTAGTATAAGAAGATGAAAAATAGTAGATAATGAATGTGAGAACGCGTTATTGGGATATTAGTTCAAGATAAATTTTTTGTTATTAATTAAGATAATTTAATTAAGAAATTGACGATAAAGAGAAAATAGCGATGAAAGTAGTATAAGAAGATGAAAAATAAGAATAGTAGATAATGAATGTGAGAACGCGTTATTGGGATATTAGTTCAAGATAAATTTTTCATTAATTAAGAAATTGACGATAGAGAGAAGGAAAATAGCGATGAAAGTAAAATAAATGAAAAATACGAATAATAGAATGTGAGAGCACGTATTATTGGAATCGTAATTATTGGGATTTGCTCTTAATAAAATAGAAAAGTGAAGACATCGCGATTGCAAACCGAGAGCCCATCTTGCCAATTACGTTATTATTAAAATATCGCGCGAAACAACGATATACTATATAATCTTCGACAAATTTTCTTTCTTCCACGTAAACACACAATATATTACAATATAATTACAATATATTACAATATAACACAAAATATTACAATATAAAAGTTTCGTACGTTAATTCGCGCGTGAAATCATTTCAAGTTGGCTGTAAGAAATTCACCGAACGGAATTCGAGTGAAAAAAATACTTGGAGCGCAAATTATATAAGACGAGAGACAACGCGATAACGACTCTTCTGTTTTACAGAGGAACCCCGAAGAAGACCGGTGGACATCGCGGAGGACGACTATTACGAGGACGAGTTGGAGGATGTGAGACCTATTCGAAGGCCGTTGAGGAGAAGGCCGTCGTCGTACAGAGACAGGGACAGGGATTTCTACGATACGATAGAGAGAGACAGAGGCCGACCCTTCAGGTAAGGTAACGTACGCACGTATGCACAATTCTATTGCTATCCCACGTGACCGATTCGCGATCTAACCCCGCGACGATCTCCGATTTTCTTTTGTTTCTTTTCCCAGATCGCGATATCGGGACGACGAGGACGAGTTGCGGCCGAGGAAACACCCGGATCGGTCGAGAGATCGGTACTACGATCGAGACAGGGATCGAGGTAGAGATCGTTCCCTCCTCGATCGTGGAAAGGATCGAGGGAGAGGGCAGGAAGCGGGCGAGAAGCAGGAAAGGGCCGGCCCCGATCGTTCGAGATCGAAAGACACGAGACCGAAGGATCCGCAGGAAGCCGACACGCCGTCCAGAGTTCGAGATCGCAACAACAATTACGATCGCACGGAAAGAACCACCACCACCACCACCACCACCGCCGCCGCCCCCACCACTTCCACCGCTGCAACGACCGCCACGACCACCACTTGTTCCCCCGAGCAACCGCCCCGCAAAATAGAATCCATCCCGAGGGAGGGTGCAAACAACGAGGGTAGGGGGACAATTATTGGCGAGAAATCGGCGCAAGGCGAAACGCCGCGAGGATCGATGGACGCGGTGGGCGAGTCTCGTGCTCGAGGCGGGCAGCAATCGGATTACCAGGAACGGGATCAGGACGAGGCGAAGCGGTATCAGGTATCCTCGTCGATGGAGGAGTACTCGCAGGAGGAGTACTACGACGAGGCGGAGGATCCTCCGTCGCCGCCGCCGCGCGCCACGATTCGCGTAGTTAAACGACCCTTCCTCCCGTCCAGGGGTGGTAATCCCAACCCGAGGGGATTGTCCCCGGTCGGCGTGAAGGCGAGCGCGCCTAAGAGAATGGAGGAGGGGCAGGAGGGGGAGAAGGCGGGCGGGGAGAGGACGAACGAAAGGGGGAAAAATTATCACGCGCACCAGACGGCCGAGGAGAGCCCCCGAATTGAATTCGAGCGGCAGGAGTCGAAGGGCGGGGAGAAGGAGAGTGAGAGAGAGACGGAGAATCGGGACGAGTACGGGGGGGTGGGCGAGCGTTACGCGGACGCGTCTGTGGCGAGAGGTGGGCAGACGCGAAGGATTCCAGGCAAGGAGAAGACGCAGCGGGGGGAGGATGGGGGGGGATCGTCTGCGGACGATGGATTCGCGAGGGGGGGGTCGAAAGGGACGAGCGAGGACAACGTTGGCGCGTTCGAGGAGGGATTGGGCGGATGGCCCGTGGAACGAGAGTTCTCGAATCACGGCGTGCAAGTAGCCGGCCATCCGTATCGTAGCAAGGGGCGTATCGTGAGTCCATCGAGCGAGAGTCCAAGTCCGGTTTACGGATCCGGTTTTAAGAACGAGGAGATCCAGGAGAATCCGACCGGGCCCCAAAGTTTCAGGGTGAAGCAGAGGTTGAACGAGGTGACGCACCGGTTGCAGGACATCCCGGAGAGCGAGTACGACGTGACGCTGAACGACGCGTTGACGCCCACGTTGAACCAGGAGACCAGCCTGCCCAGCGGATTCGTTCTCCCTCTCCACAGGCAGATAGGGAGAGACGCGATCCTCCAATCGTCCGAGACGAGTAGTTACAAAGTTTCCAGGCCCGTAGATCAGCAACATCAGCAGAAATCGTCGTTCGTTACCAATCCTCAATTCTTGTCTGCGGTCAACACGGGCAACGATAGGCTGAGGACCGTGTATTACAGGACACCCGAGACTGTTCAAATCGGTGGGACGCAATACAGGCCGCAGAGAGGAGGATTGTCATGGCAGGATTATACCGGCTACTGAAAACAATACCGACGAAGAGATAGAAATGGAATGGAATGGGATGGGATGGAACGGAACGGGGGAGGGGGGAGGGGGAGGAAGGAAAGAGATCACGAGATCGATCTTGCAATCTGCGAGTTTCGTGAACGAGTGAAATTCACTTCGATATTCGATAATTCGATCGATCGAAGGAAGGAAGGAAGGAAAGTCGTTTAGAAAAAAAAAGAAAAATTAACTTCCTTTCGCAAAGGGGCAAAGGAGGCATAATTAGACCCTCGGTCAAACTTTTCACGATGTCTTTCATCCACGAAGGGACAGGAAAGCGGTTAATTGTTTTTTTGCGATTAGATTAGAACTTGAAAGTAGAAAACGAATACGAGAACGAGTAGTATACGAAATAAGATCGAACAGGTAAAATTATACCGTCGAGTATCACGAAAAGTAATCAATCTCCGAGACAGTTGAATAATAATTCTAGAATTGGAATCAATTTCAAATTTCGAGAAAATTCCTTTCCTTTTCGAGACTTTTTTTTTTTTCGAAAATTATATTTATCTATATATCGTTTCGATCAATCAACTACTGATGTAACAAAACTTCGATCCAAGTTGTAAAATTCGTCGTATTGTAATTTGTTTCTACTTTCGGCTGAAAACTTGTAAATATGCACACGATTGCGCGTCTAATTTTATCACTCCTTCCGATTAAATTATTACTCTTGAGCGCGTGTAAACAATTTTCTTTATGAAAGAAACACATTCGTCGTCTCGATTTTTTTTTTTTTTTTCGATTTTTGGTAGCGAATAAGTTTTCTCGAGTATGCATTTTACCTTTGATATATTGTAAATTATACCAGCCTTGACGTACAATATTAAAGAATGGAAAAAAAAAAAATATATATGCAAATCTATTTGATATCCTTGATGACACGAACTTGATACTTTGCAGAAATAAACTTTTCTTCTTTCTTCTTTCTTCCTCAAAACAGAGAATCAGACTCTCAACGAAAAATTAAAGTTAATTATAAAATAATCAAAACATTGGATTTAGATATCTAGATTGTAGACTTTATACGTTTCTCTTATTAAATTTATATATATATATAATGATAAAAATGATAAAAATGAAGCAATAGTAAATCGTAAATAAGAATCCAATAAACGTTAATGTTAATCTCGTAGCCATTAGCTCGATATTATGTAATCCATATAATAATAACATGGTAAATAACAAGTAGTGTACAGTATATGGATAAATAATAATATCGATTTCCCAAGTCTCACCAACGTGGAGGTTGCTACGGATGGAGACTCACAAAAATAAACTCATCTTAAAGGATCATATTCATTATCGCACAACTTTATTAACGATTGAGTTACGCGAGAATGAAACGAATGAATTAATTCGGCTATATTCTAAATGATTTTTTTACAACTATAGTATACGGAATAATTAAAAGGAATATTAATAATAATCAATTACAACGATTTAAATGTTATTTTCTTTATTTTCTATTTATTTTCGATGTTAAATATTTACAAACTTTTCGTTGCGGTCACGAGTGACCTAAATCTGATGACACGTTTCACGTACGCATTTTTATTAGAAACAGATTAATTTCGTGATTTTTTTTTTTTCAGAGAGATGATGGCTACTCAATTTACAATGCAAAAAAGAATATTTCGTTGTTGATAAAAACGATAAAATTTTTTTTTTTAAATTTGTACCTAAACACAGATATCTATATATTTATATATATATATATATGTACGTACAATGTTGAAGAACAGGAAAAACGACACGTTCTTGCAATCGTAAAGTAAATATTATTCCTAACGAATTGTGCCAAGAATTGTGTCACAACGAAAAATACATCACAGAATAAAATTTACAATCCGATACAGCCACGTCTACGTCAAAATAAATCATCACTTATATAGAAAGATGAATTAAAATTGCTTGTACACAAAAGAATTTTCTTCTCCGTGCGCGATTTAATTTTCAATTGTTGCAACAATCGTAATGCAAGATTCGTCCGTGCTTTTTTTTTTTTTTTTTTTTTTTTTTTTTTTTTTTTTTTTTTTTTTACGTAAACATGGCTACGATCAAAAAAACGTAACATACAATATTATAACATACAATAATTATAATAATTATAATTCAGTCGAATTCTTTTAAACTGCATGTAGCTTGAGTATAGCCTAATAATAGACGTGTCGTAACAAGTGAAAAGAACGGTGCCATTCATCGTGTTGTCTTATTAATTGTATCGCAAATTACCAGAAAAATTTCGACGATACAAAATTAAAACCGATAATTCGCTAGTACCAGCCGCACCGTTTCAATTTGTACCCGCGAACTATAAAAATATTAAATCTCCTCTCGCGATGTCGAGCGGCCTAACGAATCAGAATTGATATTTCGAGCACCGATTAAATTGCCCTGATTAACTTCTAGTGCGTAGCTTTGTACAAAAATGATAGAGTACAAGAATAGGTTAAATAATATATATATATATTTATATATATATTTGTATATATATATATTTATATATATATTTGTATATATATATATTTATATATATATATATATATGTGTGTATATATCTCGCAAATATATACGTTCCAATCATCTTTCGCGAGTGGAGGCTCTTCTTTTTCTTAGGAATTATAATTTATATATGTAAATTTTCTTCAGCGTCACGATTACACATTGTACACTATATATAGGAAAGAGAATGATTGGCTGGCAAGATTACGCACCCGCGGAATGGCGGAAACTTATTTACAAATTTTATTATATATTACAAAAAACAATACCGAGCACGATAAAAAAAATGCAATGTTGTTTTGGTATGAGTGCAAATAGTCTACTCTATACGTCTTGCAATTTAAAAAGTTAACTCCTTTGTACAAAATATCGATTAATTCATCTTGAGCAAAAATATTATTTATCTCTCGTCTAATTCGAATCCGTGTAATAATTATTACCGTAATATTGCAGGAAACGTATATTATAGAAAATGTATTATTTATATACGTAACGATTTAATTAATTTAATTAATTATATAATTATATTTATAAATTTATAGAGGTACAATAGAAAAAGTTTCTCCAAGAAGTTATTATTCCTAACAGGTTATTAATTTAGATTCGCTCTTTGGTAAAGTTACATTGTTTGTTTTGTGGAAAGTTATCCTTGAAAAAAACAAGACATTAAGAGAAAACAATACGTAAATTTATACACGCGACACGACGCTACGATGCTACGATTTTATCGTCAATTCTTCAAATTTTCGAATCTAAGAAATAATAAAAAAAAAGGAGCTTCTCTTAGCGTTAAAAAAATATAGGATCTAGGATAATATCGCATCGATATTAATCGCGTCACATGGATAAATTTCATTGCACGATTAAAATTACAATATTATTGAGAATGTGGAGTAAATTCGATCTAAATTTTACACATGGTGAAATATGGATTGATAATCATCGATTTTTATACAAGATATTAATAAGATGTAAAGTTTACTGACCAGCTTTTTAATATCATTGTAAAAAATTATCTTCTCGATACGTTAATCTTAATCTTAAAAACTATCAAAAAACGCAGTCAGTTATCCCGCAACCATCGTACATAAACATAGAATGGTGATTGTGTAAGTAGTAATACTTTCATGCATGATTTTATTGCTTCCATAAAAATTATTTGGATAAGGAGAAAATTTTGAAGAGTATAAATATTAATTTTAATTATTGCAACTTTTATTAACGCTATCAATGACGATTCATCACCATTATTCATCTATGACTAAAAAAAAAAAAAAGAAAAAAAAAAAAAAAAAAAAAAAAAAAGGATCAATTAACGTTTCGCTTATCGGTATAAAATACATCTACTTACACTAACACTCGTTTACATTTAGCCTCTTATTTCAGTTCGACGATATGTTATGTATATCATGTATCTAAACCTCTTCTTTATATGTACACAGAGTTACACAATATTGTTCCCTAAGCGTATCAAGCTTCAAGAGAAGACTTTAGTGTGCGACGTTCAATCAAACGAAAAAAATTCTCGAAATCTGCACAAAGATATAAGTGATTGAATGTATTGATTGTCGAAAAATCAACAAAGAAATCGATTGAAATTTTCTTGCAAGCCATCCAGAAAGATGAAGAAATTGAACATGAACCGGTACTATTTTTTTTTTCTTTTTTTTTTTTGTTTCTTGCGGTTATTCGGTAAGACGATCCGTTTACGCGCAGCGGTAACTCAAAGCTTGTGTCGCTTTAAAATTATGAATTGTGTAACTGAGCGTTTCACGTGTTAAAGTTCATATTTCTGATAAAAACTTTCGCACTTTGTACACGGCACACATATTATTAATTATTCCATTATTATTATTATTAGATGTCTGCTTACGCTATAGGTGGATCGTCATCGTCATCGTCGTCTCTTGTGACTAGGACATTACCATAATGGTTTGGACGAAGCTGTCGAACTCGTTGTAACCATTTATATCGCCTCGCGACAAAATACAGTAATACGCTCATTACTACGAGAAAAGTTGGTATTAACAAGCCAGCGGCTACAGAACTACCTAAATAAAATTCAAACAGAATTTTGTCAGCAATTTTAGCATAATCCGTGGCACGTCTTATGTAACCAATCTTTTTTACGATAGTAATATAATGATATCGTTATCGTATGACTAATTTATATATACGATAAATTAATAATATCGTATTATGAATTAAAAAAAACAGTTTACAAAAATAATGTGCAAAAACAATTGTATGTCTTGGAAAATTTTTTCTACCATTCTTTTAGCAAAATTTTAATTCTGTCTTATAAAATTGTTTAATTTTTATAAATATTAAATACGAATAATTATTAATATTAATTTGCGATGATTTATACAAAGAAACATCGTAATATTTGTAATTATATTAGGCATGTATATACCTCCTGAATTGGCCATGACGTTTGGTTGATCAGTTACACTAGCAACCGTAGTAATTGTAACCTGGACGCATCGGCCTTTCTCCAGATCGTAACCTATCTTGCATTTGCAATATGCTTTTTCTCCTTTCGAATTTTGAAAGCATCTTTCATTTTCATTGCATTGATTCTCCATCTTTTGGGTATCGCATTGTTTGGTTTGATTTGTGACATTTCCTGCAGAAAAATCTGAATACACAATAAATTAATCAGAATCCGGATGATAACGTTACGTCGAAATCGACAATTAACGTTATATTGATATTGAAGCAAGATTCAATGTGTCGCGTGACAAAGATTGGACGAATTGAAAGCAGGGAATACAAAAAGCTTTCCGAGTTAATTCACCTAGACAAAGGTTAATATACGACTCACGATAGGCGAATAACAATGAAGATAATAAAGTCTTTAATGGATCGCGATAAACATTTTAGACATTCTAACGTTAAAAAATATCATATGTATATCTTTAGCAATTTTAATTCGACCAGCGTTAATAATATACGTTGTAAAAACATATCTTATCATTTTAATGGACGATCGTTATCAACTGAAAATTTACGGTTATTATTTGTTATTATATTCCATATCTATCACCCGACAATCAGAATTATTTTTTAATTTTCTTTGAACAAAAGACAGAGAGCGGCTGAAGAGTGATGTATCATTGCGACTCTATCGACACTGTACGAGTTGAAATTGGCTGAATCACTTAATTGAGACGAATTTTATCAGTTAAAATATAGAGGTTAACTATACCGATGTTAAATAAAGCAAATTAACAGACTTTCTTTTGATTTAAATCGTAGTATTGTATAAATTTGATAAGCTGCTATCATGCAATGCCAAAATAATAATAATAATAGTAATAATAATAATAACGATATTTGGAACGATCTCAAATAAATGAATATTCAAGAGATTAGAAACATTTGCAACTTGACTCGAAATATCGCATTCAGTTTTCCGCAATTAATTTATACCATTAATACGTGTCAATGAACTTCTCCATGATAACAACACAGAATTCATAGGTCAATCAAACAATGAAACCTTTTATTCCAATTCTATGTCATCCATTCGTATTTCTATTTAGAAGATAAAAATCAAGAATGAGACAACCGAAAAATATTACTCAATCATCTATGTATGTGCTAGAGTCCTTGACTTATACTTGGATTGACTACAAAACTGTGTATTGTCATATATAAAAATGCGATATAAAGAAAGAATTCATCGTAGCTATGGATAATCGTATCTTTCATAAAATAAATTACATTGCAGAAGAGCACTATATAGAATGACTAACGGAATTATCGCGCAACATTATTCATTTGCAAAGTTAGTTATGGTTATAAATTTAATGTGTTAATACGTTAACTGCACGTTAATTATTTCCTACAAAATGGATTGCGAAATATAAAGTGATATTTTCAATCGAATATATTCGTGATACGTTTTATTTATCGTGCATCATTCGTTAATGAAGAATGAAAACAGGCGGTACTGATTCTGATATAAATACTGGTACTACTCTAGTACTGGTTTAGTAAAGCTACCAATACTCGTAATGGTGTTAAATAGCGTTAAACGCTACGCATGGACTTTATTATCACATTGACTCATCTTCTTCGTTATGACCAAATACTGATGAGCGTTTTTTCCAGGAAATCATGTAAAAATATTAAACATATTCATCGCGATTCAAAAAGATAACTTTCGTTAAACGTAATTCATTTTATATATTGATGGAAATTTCTTGACAGAAAGAATAACTAAACGTACAATTACTACAAAAATATCGTGTTATGTATCAATTACCGAATAATCGAATCAAATTGATTGTGCGATAACGAGCGTTTCCTATGTGAAACATTAAGCATTTATCTTCCATTGAGACAGAATATATAGTAATTGTGGTTTGGAACATGGAGTATGAACAAATGAATCAAAAGAGAAACGATGAGCGAAATGAAATACTATCGAAGTAAAAATATATAATTAAGGGAGCTTAATTTCTTGATCACGATCATCAGGAGAGAAAGAAACGCACGAATAGTTGGATCAAAAGAATCAGAAAGAAATGAAGAGAGAGATAGAGAGAGATAGAGAGAGAGAGAAAGAACGAGAGGGGTAGAGAGAGTGATGGAGAAAAAGCGGAAGAAGACTATTGTGGCCTTACAGGGGTGACCCCAATGGTTCGATTAAACCAACTAATTTTGGCTTCGCTTGGTACAGACACACTTGATTTATTTTATTAAACAAACTACAAATTATTTCTCAGAATCCATGCTTACCTGAAGCGTAATTGAATGGCGTTAGAAAAAGTATTGCCACGATGAGATAACAGAAAACATAGACTCTAATGTTTTGCATTTTCCTTTGTTTTTTCCTTCTCGTGTTGTCGCTCTCTCTTTGTCTTTCTCTCTACGTGTACTTCGTTCCCAATTCACGGTCACATAATAATGGACGCAATTATTTAAAGAATATTTACGATCGACGCGTTTGTGCCACTCGGAAAACGTAATGTTAAACTCACAAATATACACACACGTAATTTATTAAAATATTCACGTAGATAACCTAAAACTTTAGCACGAAACAATCAACAGGCACGCGTATGCCGGCTCATCGCCGATCGGCCGGCCGTCACCAGTTTTGACAGATAAATGCTAGACCGCGCCGCAGAATGCGTTCAATCATCTGTTATTAAACGACCATTTGCAATTATCGAACTCAATTGACATCGAGAATCGCAAAAGACATATCGAGACATATCGAGCATAAGATGGCGTCATAGAATACGCGCATTGCTATTTGGCGCCATATTCAAAATTCAATTTTACGTAAAAATTATTTAAATCTATTTTTTATCAATTTGAAAATGAAAAAACTATGAAATAGATTAAACATAATGAAAAAACAATATCTATATTTTCAATATGTTTCTTTTTTTTAATTTGATTAAATTTCTTAATTTAAAAATGATATTGCAAACAAATAAAAATGATGATCAATTGTAATTTTAAAAATCTTTTTAATATTATTCTGAATTTGTGACAAATAGACATTTTTAGATCAAATAAAAGTGTATTTCGTATCTTCTAAAATGTAGATAATTTCGTCATCTAACTAGAAAGATCGATTTCTACAGATTATTTTTAAAAAGTAGAATCTTTACTTAACCCAAAAAATATAATATTCATGGAATATTTTTAAATATATCATATGAAATGTGTTTTTAATCAATCGCATAATTTTATGCTAAGTTATTTCGAATTCATTTTTTACACGTTGAAAGATATTTTCTCTATTGGAATGCACAGCCGTTTAAAACAGTTGCGATGACAGCGGCACGTGTCATGGCGAGTGTGTTGTTATAAACGAAAGTCGTATACTGTTAGTCGTAGATAGAATTGAAAGCTATCAATTACAATATTCAAAATGAAAGAAGAAACAGTGTTAAGTTTAAAGTGGCACAGTTTTCCATCGCATTTGGCGGTTTCTCTCGATACATGCTATGAGAAGCAACAGTTTGTAGATCTTTCTTTAGTATGCAAAGATGGGACGATTATAAAATGTCATAAAATGGTATTGGCTAATTCGAGCTCATTTTTCCGTCGTTTACTAGTTGCCAACGATCATCCTCACCCTATGATTATTCTTCACGATATTGAAGCAGACGATCTCAAGACTATCGTCAATTTTATGTACTGCGGTGAAATACAAGTGGTTCAAAGTGAGGTTAGAAGGTTGTTAAAGTTGGCCGAAATTTTGGAAGTCACTGGATTACGACATATTAAAACTTCCGTTTTGGTAGGAGAATCGAATAACGCATCTCATGATACGTCCAGGAAAACAACTACAGTATCTCGTTTAAAAATCGAAGAAACAAAAAGTCTACCTACCAAAACAGTACCTGATCATGATTCTAATATTAGATCACAAACTAAAACTAACAATCAAACAAAATTTACTTCATCTACTCACCTTCATAAAAGTGGAAACAAAGTTCCACTAGAGGTTACTAAGAAAAATGAAGAGGCTAATATTAATTTATTAAGTCAATGTTTAGACACAGGAAAATCTGGAATCAGTATTGTAGACATTAATGATATGCCAAGTACTAGTAGAGGAATTTCCAATCCACCGCCTCAAAAAAGAAAAGAACCCTCTGAATCTGTTATTAGTTGGCCTCGTGTTTTATCTGCTATATCAAAGGATAAATCTTTACCTTTGAAAAAATTATGTATTATGGATGAAGTTGAAATTACAGCTGGAAAGCCATCTGCAGCTAATCAAGAGTTTCAGAGGAATGAACCTTTAGACAGAAGAAAACAAAGGACTAATTCGGAAAGCAATGAATCCATGAAGTGTGCAGTTTACATAAAAGACGAGGTGGACATATTTGAAATGGAAGAAGATGCAGATATGGATCCTCTTGAAGTTGAAGAGATAGAAAATGAAAGTTCAGATACTATTATGGGTTCTTCTCAAATTTTTCCTGTCACAAATGTGGAACAAACATATTATAATGCAGGAACACTTTCGGAATATCCTCCAAGAAAAGGATCTAATGGTTAATACATAAAACACTGTGTTTTAAAATTGAAATTATTGATATATATTGCTTTGAATATAACACTTAGACTGAATAAAACTTTTTTGTGATTATAAATCTTTTTTAACCAAAAAAGCTGCAAAATTTCAATATATATAAATTAACCATAATTCACTATCATACTTGTTACTTTCTTACATGATCTTGTTCATTTTATAATAAACCAATTCAAAATAAATGTTTCATGCTTATTTAATCACTTAACCCATTTGATACACATTTATGTTACCATGTTATATGTTTCTATGGAAACCTTTCACAATTAGTCTCAAATATAGTTAGATCAATCTTGTATAAAAAAAATATTTATATAATATAAAATGGATAAAACAGAAGATCATGATACATTAAAAAACAAAATAATAGAAGGGCAACAAATTATGGATAATTTATCAGTTGATAAACATGTAACTGAAGAAGAATTTCAAAACTTTATGCATCGCGTTACCGAAGTTGGTAAGTACTATTTCTTATTTTGATTATAAACATAATTTTCGATTTATTGTAATTTTTTTAAGAAAAAATTGTGAAAAAATTGGCATCTTCCAATCCTGAAGAACAAGAACATGGACAAATATTGGCAGATGAAATTTTGGATGGACGATCGGAAAATATTATTTGCGATGATACTGAATTAAAAATAAAAATGAATCGTACAGTGATTAATAAATGTTCAATTAACAAAAATTCTACTAATGAAGAAATGTCCAAAGGTATCGAGTAATAATTTTTGTCTTTTGTATTCCTATGTACTAATTAAAGTTTTATTTACATTATAGAAGCGTTTATGAAAAGCGTAGAAAAAGATGCAAAAGAAAGGGCGGAAAATAGAAAGATTAGAAATGAACGAGCGGAAACACTGAAAACAATTGGTAATGGGGCATTTAAGGAAAGAAATTATGAGAAAGCGGTAACATATTATACTAAAGCGCTAGAACAGCGAAAAGATTCAACCGTATTATGGAATAACAGGGCTTTGTCATATATTCAGCTTGGATTATTCGAGAAAGCCTTAAGCGATTGCGAATGGGCATTAAAAGTTAATAACACGAACTTGAAAGCCCTATTAAATAGTGCTAAGTGTTATAAACAACTCGGAGATGAAACGAAATACAAAGAATATATTCTGTTAGCAAAAGAAAGAAATCCACATTTAACGAATTTTATTAATGGTACTTTGTTGATGTTTTTTTACATTGAAAATATTTCTATCACAATTCTAAATTTTTATTTAATTTATTGTTACAGAATTTGAAGAAAGTTTGGAAATGCGCGTTAAATATCAAGCTTCATCTGTTAATAATATTAATTAGTAAACAATAGAAATATTTCTTATGCAGTATGAATATTTCTTTTGCAATAATTTAAAATGCATTTAACTGGTGTCAAGATGGACCTATTTTTGTCGCATAACCTTCTTTAATCTCTGAAAGAGATCTAGGTTCATGCAAAAAGACTGTACATTCAATACCCTGAAAGAATTTATTACTAGAATTATTTAAATTTGTCATATTTTATAGTACAAATACTTATACCTGCATACGTGCTGCTCTAACAAATCCCTCATTTGCAGATACCGTAATGCTTTTCATATGTTCTCCTGTTGCAAAAACTAATCTAGATCTGTCTTTAATTTTACCACCTAAATTTAACTTCTCCATTATTCTGCCTGTTGGTATGTCATTAACAATTTGAACTTTATTTAATAATTCTTTTGCCCTAAGAGTCTCTTTAGGTCCACCAATGACATCTATAATATTCATAAAATTTTCATAAGCAGTTTGACAAACAATTAATTCTTTGCCTTTGAACAAATTCTCTAAAATTGGTTTAACTGGATATTTTCTCTCCATTTCTGCTTGTTGAGTGAGTAACGGTTCCCGATAAATAAAATGATCATATCCATTGGTCATATTTGTCACATATGCTAATAAAGTTGATACATCCAAGTTAAGAATCTTTATTTCAGTTTTAAGAGAAGATGTGTTTAGAGTATTTAAATCTGAATTTATGTTTTTTTTATAATCATCCAAAGATTCCTCAGTAGATTCTAACGAATATAGCCATGTAGCAATTTTGTCCTCGCTATCTACCTCCAGAAGAATAGATATAACCGTAAATATGATTTGTTAATTTATATATATCACACATATTCATATATTCATCATATTAAAAAAAATATATACCATATACATCTATATTTTTTACATCTTCACATTGTATTTTATCCCCTTCAACAATTATTCCCATGTGTTCCAAACGTGTAGCTAATGGAATTTCTATACCATAAGCAAAATGGAATATAATGTCAGGTGGCCTATACAAATGTGGATAGCATTTTGCACATTGTAAATAACTCATTGCTTGATCAAGCACAGATTTTTGCCCATATTCTCCATTACCCATTGAAATCATTGTAAGAGCTCTAGCATTTCTAGCAATAACTTTTATCCATGATGCACCTCCATTACATACAATATCTACTTCTAAACGTGATTTTTGATATTTAAAAGGTTTCATAACATTGATGGGTTCATTAGCACAAAAGAGTCGTGCTACAATTGCATTCAAATGAATCAGATTTGTGCTTTGTAAATGTTCCTTCTTTACATTCCCTGTGGATTGTACCTTTATGAGAATAGCATATAGTTATAATCCTGATCCTTTTAATAGAAAAATATGTAACAATTCGACAATTTTTTGTATTTAAACATAAAATTAATAGAAGAAAATAGAGTGAAACGTTTCATAACTTATATAAGTTATAATATATGCCTAATATCGTGAAGGAAATGTAGGTATATGATATCTGTAGTTTTGATTTGTAATCTTGAAAAAACATACCTTTTCTAAGAATCTAATTTCTTGTTGAATCTTTCGTATAAGTTTTTCAATCCCATCAATCTTTCCAACAAGTTTCAGTCGATCTATCGTGGCTTTGCCACTGTTTATTTTTTCTCCGAGACATGTTAAAAGTTCACCCTTTTCCTCCATCCTTTAACATTAAACGATTTTCGACAAGTTGGCCATGAGAAATTGTATTTTTTGTAGTAATTCTAATAATTTTGAATAGTTCACGATCGACGAACGTAGTGTTAGCAGCCATCTTGCATTACAGTTCAATATCGCGTAATGTCGACGGGTCGCTTGTCAAACTCGTCTATTAACCTCACAAACTTTTATATTTCACTGAATAATTGACAGTCAAACATAATTCATAAATCGTAATGATACAATATTCCAACGAATCGTGCGAAATGTAAAACTATAGGCAGAAAACTAATTCGCGAGTGTAAATCGAACGAAAACAACCTTATCGTGCCGTAATTACCGCGCACCGTCAAGATTCCTCTGACAATAATAGAGAATATCACGGTATTTAAGTTAAAAAAAATGTCTAGTGCAAAGATCATCGAAAATCCAGAAGTACCGGGTAAGTTTCTATTCCTAGGAAAGAATTTTCCTCATTGATTCACGTTGTTAAAGATATATGTACGTATATTCTAGTGAATCTAGTGTGTCGAAAATATGCAAACTCCTGAATTTCCCAAACACATCGATCATTGAAAAAATATTTATTATATTATTAATATATATACGAAAAAATATTTTTTACAAATGGAACAGTAACACCGCAAGTGTAAATATACTGTATGTAGTCATAATGGAGTCTGTTAGAAATAACCGGATATAACTTTTGATATGCCTATATCAATCAATTATCAAAACAATTACTTAAAGCATGCACATGTTACGTCCAACGTTAAATAGGTAAAATAAGAGAATACTTTAGCCATAGGATATTTTTACGTTTACTGTCAAATTTCATTCAATATTTGAGTATTTAAATCAGCTGATGATTTTAAATATAAAATAACAAATATATATATTGACACAGTAATGTAATTACTGTAATAATTACTTATCAATTTTGTCACCGAAATTAGGTTTTTTTTATATCGAATTAGATTAGAATACCAATAAATTAAATGAAGATATAAATGTAAAGGGATTATAAATTATCGGATGTAGTAACATGTAAACATTCAGTTATCATTTATGCATGATATTTTGCTAATACATGAACATTGATCTTTATTATTATTCTTTTCACTTTTTTTACGTACTTTATTCGTCAAATTTATTGAAATACATTATTATTTACAATAATTACGATTATTTCATTATTTCGGAAAATTAATCGTGCGAATTAAAATAATTTCTTTAATTTTAAATCATTGGATAAAATGCACACAATCGATAAACGAAATTTACAGTTGTATCTAACCACATAAAAAATATATATTACTAATAAAAATGATTAATATTACGACTTTTATATTTGCAAACTTATTCGATATTACAAGATTAATCACAGAATTATATTCGATTAAATCCTATCTTCAAATAAATTATAACAATATACATTTTCTTTATATTTTATTATTCCGTATTTTTTTTAACTTTTATTCATACATGTTTATACGTTACATTTAAATAGAAGGAGTTTTATTAATATCATAAATCTAATTTTAAAAAAAATATTTTCTTTCTTATATATATCGTATACAATTATTATTATTATTATTATTATTAATATTATTATTATTATTATTCTAATAAACATTTAAAATATATCTTTTATTCGTATATATAGGATTAGAATGTTTTCTACCGCCACCTCCACCACCCCCACCACCAATCATAACTTCGAAAAGCAACAATTTGCCAATTACGACGGAACAACAGCAACCGGTAACGACAGAAGCGACAACGACCGGTTTATCGACCTGCGAAACAGCGGGAAATCTAACAATTGAAGCAGCAGCTACGGCGTTTCCAAACCTTCCTGTGCCAACACCATATATCATGCATCCAGCGATGCAAGCACAAACACCTGGACAACCAACTACTCCCTGGTGGATACCTACAGACGCGGACACTTCTGATCTTTATGCACGATGGTATGACACGACCTACAAAACAACGGCTGCGGCGGTCGTATCACCTACGATAACAGTTTCCAACAAAGCTAAGAACAAATATTATAAACGCAAGAACGAGTTCATCGATCCTGCGCAAGATGCAGGTAATTAAAGAACGTTTTGTTTTTTTTATGGTGAGAAACAAATGTAATGTATATATTTTATTTTAGAATTTATCTTTTTTTTTTTTTTTTTTTTTTTTTTTTTTTTTTTTTTTTTTTTTTTCGTTGATTACCAACTCTGTACATATCAAATTATCATTAAGAAATCAGATTTCAAAATTCAGCAAAGGGAAATACAAATTTATTAAAGATCGATTTATGTTTCTATTTCGTAGAGAAAGTTGCGAGCGCCCAGAGGGAACTGTCAGCATTAATGAAACCGCTGAAATGCGATCTGTGCAATGCAGTTGTAAGCCTCGATTACTTTATCCGATAATAAAAATATATGAGACATCCTGTTATGAATATTATGTCATCATATTTAACATATATTTTAACCAAAGCCTCCAATGAAATCCTCATCGCTTAAAAATAAACGATTTCAGATGAACTCCACGTTGCAGGCCAAGTTACATTACGATGGAAAGCCACATCAGAAAAAAGTATCGATGTTTCTAAATCAAAGCGTAAAGAAACAGAAAACCGAAGACGGCCAAGTCAGTAGTACGACCAGCGATTGGCAAAATTATTGTGATGTAAGATTGTAAATATTAATGCATTAAAACGAGAACGGGGGAGGGGGGGGAGGGAGGAGGGAGGAGGGGTGGAAAATCGTCGAATTTATTTATTATTTAATTTTTTGCAGATTTGTAAAACATGGTTCACGTCGCAAACGGATGCGACGCAACACTATGCCGGTAAAAAACATATTAGAGCAGTAAACGGGGGACGTCGTGCGAGGTACAGAGATGTATACTTGTCCCTAATTATTCTTAGAAAGATAGCTGTGTCAGCCGAGATCGTCATAGCAGAGCGTTGAATTCTACAGGCCGTCGAAGAAGTCGCAAAATCAAAATCAGTACAGTCAAATAGATCCCACTGGCCGATTCGGGATAGGAATGGCTTTTCAGGCAGAAGTGCAATCTACACCGGCACAGCCGGTGGTAGTACCTGACGGTACCAATGCGGTACCTACACCAGGAACGGGGTCCATCTACACACCACCTCCTTATCCAACGCCATTGCGTTGCGATCTGTGCGGGGTTTCCGCTAATCGGCAGGACCAATTGGAAACGCACAAACGTGGCGCTAGGCATTTGAGAATGCTTAGGTTGAATGGATTACCCGTTCCCGAGCCTGGTAAGAATTCCACGTATTCCTCGCCTCTTGCCCCGATAAATAATATTATCGTCCTGTTGGATTTTTTTCAGCTACCGAGA